TGTTGAGTTGTATGGTATGAGACAATGGAATCATGATCCAGTGTAAGATTTTTTAAATATTTGAAAAGGTATGTTCCCAAGGAAGGCAATATTTATCCGTATTAATATTATAAATGTGGAAGTTTGTGAGTATGTTTGGATGTATGTTACTCTTTCACGCCAACCGCAACCGCTGAGCGGATCTGGATGAAATTTGGCACAGAGATAGTTTATAATCTGGAATAACACATAGGCTACTATTTATCCCGTAAAAATGTACGGTCCCCGTGGGATAGGTTTGTTTTTGTTTTCCTAGAGGTGAACACGAGCGAAGCGAGGGTGAGCCGCTAGTAAAATATAAAATTATGCATCCTGATAATAAAATCACAGCAACATGTGACTGTAAGATGTAATTGCCGACATTACAGGGAAATCTAGAGCTGCTAGGGAACCCTAATGGGTTATAATACAGGATTAGATATAAAAGTCAATTAAAATATTACTTTTTGTAAACCAAGGTTTCTAAAAAAAATTTAATAAATATGTTTATTTATCATTAGTTATTTGTGTGTTACTAAAATCATGAGAAAATAAATTAATTCGATTGCTATATTCCTATTTAAAATGGTCAATTAAAAGGGGCGGCAAAATGCTCCCCACGCGCCAACTGACGTTTCGCTGAAAGACGCGCCCACTCTAGGGTTAAAAGAGCAACTGTGAAGTTTCTCGCCGGCTCTTCTCAGCAGAACTGCTTTTCGAGCCGGTAGTAGCTTCCTCACGGACTAACTACATTAACGCTCTTTAAATTAAGCTTAGATTCAAAAGTGCTTATAATGAGTCTCATTGAATAAAATTTAATTTCATTGAGATAATACTAACAACAATGATACACTGACAACAAACATACGCCTTTTGTGTAGGTCTTTTTGAGAATTAACCCACAATTTTTCACGTACGTTTTTTTGTTGTATTCTCGCCAGCATTAGCCGTGAAAGCATACGAAACCAGTTTTTTTAATGTCGTCATAGTTCAGTCACAATTCAGACTTACACTCGCTTCGTTTTGGTGGGTTCCTAGGTACGCGGATTTTTATCACAATTTCAATTTATATTTTTTTTGCGCGAAACCCTGATTCGTTTTCTAGAATAAAAGTAGATTAAGTTACTCCTTATAACATTAGCTACCTGCCAGTGAAAGTCCCGTCAAAATTGGCCTAGCCGTTTTGGAGATTAGCCGGAATAAACAGACAGATAGAAAGGAAGACAGACGGTCAGAAGGACAAAAATTAAAAAAAAAAATTTTTTTTTCTTAATAGTACCCTATAATACTTTGAAATGCATTTAGTAAAAATCTGTTACTTTGATATAACAAACAGACACTTCAATTTTATTTACTTGTATAAATAAAATTAAGCCAAAGAGTTTGTTTTTTGTAGTTTCAACGCGGGCGAACCCGCTGGTACCTAAATAAAGTTTTCATTAATCTTTAAAGAAAGTAAACAATGTATATGACAAAATCGAAAATAGTAGCATAAACTGCAAAATTTGCAGTTTATGCTACTTTATTATTTAGGCTTTGACATTTTTAGCGGGATCCATCTTTTAATTTTTTAATAATATACATATATATTTTAATACAAATAATGAGGTTATTATCAGTATTATTTTAAATTACAGTTTCCTTTAGGTGAAATCTTTAAATTACGGTAACACAAAAATAAATAGTGTTTGCGTAATAAAATAGCAAAATCCTTTACAAACAAACTTATGTCATGAGTTTTCAAAGGACATAAAATTCTTTATTCCTATTTTTAAAAAGTTTAGTTAATAGGTAAGTAAATCATTTTTTCGCATGGCCAATGAAACATGCAACTCAGCGAAACCAGCTTAGACTACTATTTATCAATATTAAATAATATGTACTGAGCCTTTTGTTGACGTATTATGTTTTTTTGTTACAAACCTACTGAGGTTTACACTTTTCAGGGGCAAATTAGATGCTTTGAGAGACAAGATTTTACTACTATAAATACAGGCTGTAATATTGTGTACTGTATCAGTAGTTACTGAGTGAGAAACTGAGATATAAAAATACTAGGTGAGTACTAAGATATAAAAATGTATTATACTTGTGGTGACTAACAATCAAATTATATATAAACTAGCGAATCACCCACGCTTCGCTCGGGTTCGTCCCTAGCTTCATTCCCCATACAAAATTTCGTCCCCAATTTAATCCCCTTAAGGGATGATTTCCGAGGTAAAAAGTCACCTATGCCTTACCCAGGGTTTCAAACTATCTTCTTACCAAATTTCATATAATTCGGTTCAGTAGATCCAGAGATTACCCCCTACAACCTCACAAACTCACTAACTCACAAACTTTACCTCTTTATAATATTAGTATAGATAAAATGATCTATTTAACAATTTATAAATAAAATGTTAGTTTATACGTGATATGTTATTTTACAACTGTTATTATATTATTATATACCATACCAATATCAAATAACTATTTTTTAAAAAAATTCTTCTATGTTCATCACGAATATTCTTTGAAAAGCTCTCAGATTTTTACCGGAATATTGACTCGTAAAGTGGATTTGGCGAAAAGTACAAATTATTGTTTACTTTATCCCGGGAAAATAAAGACTTACAATAGAATTCCTCATGGTTAAAAGAAACGGGTTTAATTTAACTCAGGCCTATCAAAGGGAGTAGGCAGTAATACCACAGTGGTAACGCGCTTGTTTGGGAAACCGCACCTCTGATATTTTACATGTGCTAATCATTTCCAACATGATTACCACTTATCTTACGGTGAAGGAAAACATTGTAAGGAAAACTGCGTGTGTAAGAGAACCTAGCAAGTTTTTAAAAGACATGTGAAGTCCGATAACCCGCACTTGGCCAGTGTTATGGAATATAGCCGTTTGAAAGGAGGCCCATGCCCAGCAGTGGGACGTTAAAAAGGGCTGAATACTTTCAAGGGTTCCCGTAGTCAGGAGATTAAAAATAGCAATGTAAATAATATGGAGAATAGATATTTATATAAAACTAGCATTGCCCTTGGCTCCGCCCGCGTTTAGATGACCAAAAACCAAATTCTTAGGTTTTACATATTAGTATACTCTTACATTGCAGTTTTTGTTTTTTTCTCAGAAATTAGACATTTTCTCAGATTAAAAGTATCCTATATGTTGACCCGGATAACCAGCGATCACCGTACCAAATTTCATCAAAATCCGTCCAGTGGTTTTTCTGTGATGCGGTAACAGACAGACAGACAGATAAAAATTCTAAAAACTATAGATTCGCCCTCTCTATCGATAATAACTTTTATTTCAATAAGATTTTCCAAAAAACTTAGTTACAATTTTATTATATGTATAGATTACGCAAATAAAAGGCATCGTGAATCGTTACGTTGCTCAACCTAGTGGATGGCTTTAGCTATACTTTCGTATTTTCAGTAGTCCACCCTCGCTGGCTAGATAGAGCAAAATAGTAAGGATACCATATACATACTTACCTATATGTATGCAAAAAATACAAATGCATTTAACAGCTTCTAACGTAACTTTGCCAATAAAAATAGATTTTTAATAATTTTGTGTTTTTTAAAACTAAAGAATATAGGTGGGTGTATACAGACTGTTCTAATTAATGCGAATAAATAGATTTAATTAAAACAAAACATGAAAAAAAAATTGCTTATAATTACTATTTAGATAATACTGACAACAATGATTGTAGGCCTTTTTGAGAGTTCACCTACACTTTTCTAGTACGTTGTTTTGTTGTATTATCGCCAGCTTTAGCCATCAAAGCATACGGAAATATATTTTTTTGACTAAACACCGCCGTGAAAAAATAAGCCGTGAGACAGACAGAGACAGACAGTTTTTTCATTTGTTTTATACTAGAACATAGTAAATTCTATAATCTATACATTATATAATTATAACTACATAAGACATACAGACAAACAGACAAAAATTTTTATAACCATTGTTTTGGTGTCCATATTCTGTACACAATACGATACATTCATTGTTTTTAAAAAATATTTTATGTACAGATTTCGCTAAGTTACTGTTATAATAATAAAACAGCAACTTACATACGAGTATAAATGTATAGATACTCAGAGTGCCACTTACCAAGCTGTGATTACTCCAGTATTTAACCTATTAGTCACGGAGACCTCCCTGAATATTTGGTGCTTATTGGATATAATGAAATCGATCTCATTCATAGTTTCATTATCAATGCTTCGCTAGGTCCACTTCCTTTGCAGCTTCTTCTAATAAAATAAATTCATCAGAAATAACCCCTGGGCCTCGAGAAACTTTATCAGCATATGTCCCCAATGATTTCTGCGCCATAGCCGAATATTCACGTCGATTCACCATCCTCTTTTATTCCCAATTTGGTATTGAAGTGGAGAGACTTTCGTCCACCAATGGACGGCGATAAGCTGAAAAAAAATAGCTTTAACTTAAACTTACTACTACTATGTTTATAATGCTTTCTTATACACTCTGACCAATTTCAAATACGGCAAGCAATCTCTGAGACTAGCCATGTGCAGCATGCGCACGAGGTATTATAGTGCACAATTATGCGCAAGACCGGCGGCTTTATGTACTTTCCAAGACATGATTTGTAACACTATCAAATTAGCTCCGTGTTGCGACTGGGGATGGATAGGGATGGGGGGGGGGAGCAGAGAATTTTAATACCCATACTTGGGCCGACTCGGCACTCAAACACAGAACCTTTAGATTTTCTGCCTATATATTATGCCTTATGTCTATATTTCTATAAAATACAAGCTGTACTGCAATACAAAATTGTATTTCAATTTATACACGAAAATATGTGTATATTTGAAACTATGTATTATAAAGAAATTAATTAAAATAAAACCTCCTTTACGTGTGAGGTTTTTGCTACGTAAAATAAAAAACGAATCATAAATAAGTTAAATAATTTATGCTTAAATTTGATATATAAATGCTGCATGAAATTTTAAACACCATATCTATAGTAACTGACTTTGAAACTGTGACGGTAAGTTTCACTTAAAAATATATTATAATTTAAATAATATATTTAATATTTAATTAAAATTTTATTTTATAATATTTTTCTACTAGATGGTTTCCACACCGATCGTGTGGCTGTGCTGCCTGTTGGCGTCAGTACTTGCTGTACCTGTGCAGAAGTACACAGACAAGTATGACAGCATCGACATGCATGAGATCGTAGAAAACCCGAAGCTGCTACACGGGTATTCCGACTGTCTCCTCGACAAGGGCCCATGTACTCCTGAAGGCAAAGACGCAAAAGGTACATTTAATGCTAAATTATTACCCTATAGTAAGAGGAAAATTCTCATTCCTGACGACGATTTTGCACATATTTTACAATTTTAATAATATTATTTTCTAAGTATATCATTTAGTTTTCGGATAGTATGTTTAGTTTGAGGGATATTTATAAGATAATATCGTCAATACTGAAAAGACACTGTAACTAAGCAATTTATTTAGAGTTGCAAGTGCAACTAAACAGATATATATAGGTACACGGATATGGTGTATCAATTTGTTTTGTTTATAAAATACTTACTTCTTACTTCGGTTTTAACGCTTGATAACACTTAAAAAAGTATCTATTAATAAAGTTAATAACTCATTTGAGTTCAAAAAGTACATAATGTCAGAGCTAGGGGATTTCCCAACATTAAAAAAAAGAGCTAGGAGCTGAGGCAAGATGAAATTATAATCTCTATTGCTAAATATGCCACCACTCCCTAGATCAAAATGGTATGCGTCATAAATAAACAACAATAAATTACTTTGAAAATTTGTTTCGCGTATAAAGCAATGACTATGTAAAGCAAAATTTTGTGGTTAATATGATTATTATAATTAATTGTCTTTTCGAAACTAACATAAATATGTAAGTAATATAACTAATTTGTTTTCTACCTTTTAGCAAACTTACGTGATGGACTGGAAACTGGCTGTGGGAAGTGTACTGAAATACAAAAGGATAAAGTTACCATCTTCATAGAACATGTGATCAAGAATGAACGTGGTATCTGGAAGGAATTGACCGATAAATATGACCCTGAGGGTATCTGGAGAAAAAAATACGAAGACGCCGCGAAGGAAAAGGGTATCATCATTCCTAAAGACTAAAATAACACCGCACATACATTTTAAAAGTTGTTAATAATAACAATAGTTTTTATTTATGTATAAATAATAAAATATATTTTCAAATGCATACTATTTTGATTGATTTTTATGTACCTAGTAGAATTAAATGACTAAAATATTCTAGCTTACACTTATATTAAAGTTTTCAATTTGCTTGTTTAAGATTAGTTAAATTCTTTTTAGATAAAACACTTTCAAATCATTAGCTCCGCATCTCAAATAATAAAATTGACGCGGCCTTAAATAATTTAATATTCAATATTCAAAATTAGCTCATGTTCCTGTAGTATAAACTTAAGTGTTCCTAATATTATTTTTTGCTTTCGAGAGCAAGTTTTTTTTTTAACGAAACGTTTAAAAACGATGGAGTGTTATAAGTTTGACGTGTTTGTGCGTAGCATCGTAGCTCCCGAACGGATGAACCGATTTTCATTTAGTTCTTTTTGTTTGAAAGGTCAATTAGCCGGAAGTGTTTGATGAAAAACAGTACAAGATGGCCGCCGCCACAAAAAATAATTAATTAGATATTAAGTAAAGCTTGTACACACAAATAACAATTATAGTATAAATTATTTTATGAACCGACAAAATGATATAACTTCCTTATATTAAAAACAAAAACATGCAACTTTATTTCCTTTTAGATGTAGAAGATAATAAGACTTTTTCATAGTAAGTAGTTAATCTTATCAGATCAAATCTCAATGATAGCCAAAATAATGTGTCTTTGATAGATAAGTCGGAGGAAGTGGATTTAGTAGAGATAAACTATAAATTGATTTGTATTTTTTTTCTGCTAGAATGTAGTAAAACCTTATTTATGTTTAAAGTCACCATGTTATGTTACGTCAAATCAAATTCAAATTAAGAGCCGAGATGGCGCCTCGAGCGGGGTCGAGATACCATCTTCACATTCGTTTAAGATATTGTGACTGGTTATCAGATCGATGTCGTGAACAATTAAACTATTAGAAATATTGTTTCAAGTTTAACAACATTGTAATTTCTCTCTTTCAATTGAATACTTTATTTTGTGCCGTATTGAGCCCAGATAACGGCCACAAGTTTCGTAACCACTAACGATGATCACGGAAGAATATGTATATTCCGATAAATATTAAAAAATACATAAAAGTAATGTAAAATACCGATATTATTTGATGAGCATAATTTTTTTATGTATTACATTATTGCTATCATGGGAAAAGGAAACAATAGCCCTAAACGACATCAACGAAAGTACAGCTCGTTTACAATTTTACATATCAGCCATAATAACTAGAGCTCTTCTAGAAGGGACTGTTATTATTATTTCACTTGTTATCTCATTTTTTTAACTTGAAATCTTAAAGAATTCCTTACACCACTGTACTGCATACTGACCTTGGTGTTTTAACAATCACGGTGGATTTCATTCATCCGAAAAATATAGTTTTCAGTTCATTAGGAGTCTTTATGAAGTGTAGTAAATGAGAAAGTACTATTTATAAAAAGTCAATTCAAGTTAAGTCAATATTATGTAACAGGTTTTCAACAAAAGCTGGGTGGTTATCATAGAGCAGGCAAGTGCTATGCTGCACAGTAAGTTGCGGCGATATATGGAGAAAAAAAATTCTATTTCCTTTTCTCCTTTCGCGGCGCATGCGCGTTAGCAAACATGGTCACGGGATAGACTAAGGTATAAGAAGTCTCAAAAGTTATGATATAGTTGTTACAGTAGGTACCTACCCACAAAATTTTACTATAATTTGGCAATAGATAAATATGTGGGGACTTTACCAACACTCAGCACCATCTAGTTCCATGGTAAGCTACAAGGGAAAAAATAATAAATAAATAAAAAATAAAAATATAAGAGCCTTTTAATTTTCTTAAATTGACTACAGAATACAATAATTATTATATTCTTTATTGCACTTAAAATGTGATACCGAAAAAATAACAACGATAAACATAGATCACGAAGGTGTTGACCCCTGGATGTGGAAGAAGATGTCAGCGGGCAATATAGTGCAAAAAAATATACTAAATATATACTAGAAATAAAGGTAATAAAAATCACATATACATACATACATATATTACTTATAAAAATATATAATACTGTACATATATTATTAATACCTAATGTATAGACTCTACTTATATATACATACATACATAGATACATACATATACATTATATATACTCAGTATATAAAATATGCAAACAAAGAAAGGTGCTGATTGATACTTGTCTACATTTGTGATAATAAGTAATTTTTTATTTACATTTAAGTACATTATGGATAGATGGGCTCTCATGGATGGTTTTGGGCAGTTGGTTCCATAGTACTGCGGCATGGACAGAGAGAGAATTTTGTTGGAATTTAGTGTTACTCCTAGGAAATATGTTGAAATACAATATGTTGGAGTAAAGTTCTTTTTTAAACGTGATTTATACCTACAATAATCGTTACATACAGTTGTTAGAAATAAATTAAATATAGTAATTGATAGTATATAATGTATTATTTTTAAAGATTAATAATGATTGAATTAGTTGTAATAAATTATTAATTAATTATTTATTAGTGTTACATAACTTTTATTTTTAATAACTTTTTTATTACTTTGTTAATCATGAATTAGCTTTTTATTACTTTATAAATTTTTATTAATTAATTTATTGATTTAAGTAATTTATTGATTTTAATTGATTTATTAATTTAAATAATTTATTATTTTAATTGCTTTAACTGCTAATATATAGATTTTCTTTTAGATTTAATAATATTTTTTGTTAACCTTGCAATATTAGTAAATTTTAATTTTAAACATTTTAAAACGTACCAAAAATATTATTTAATTTTGGTTGCTCATATTATAATCTTTTAAAAATTTTATAATTGTAAAGATATTTTCTGTAATCTTCGAATTGGCTACGCATACATTTGCATAAAATAACTATACATAATAAATTATTTAAATGCAAGAAAAGATTTTTGCAAAAATTAAACAAACCTACAATTTATTATCCCACGACTATTATAATATAAAAGTTTAAATGTGTGTGTGCGACCTGAAATCACACAAAGACTGTTTTAATGTTTAAAAAACCTCTAACACATGAAATTATCTCTTAAAAAAAGTAATGTTCAAATAATACACCTTCAAAGTATCGAGGTTTGATTCTAAATTACTTATATAGCGCTATATTTATATAATAATATAAATATAGCGGTTCCTTATCTATACATCTATACATATAATAAAATTCTAACTAAGTCGAATCTGTACATTAAATATTTTTTGGATAATCTTATTGAAATAGTCATTATTATCGATACAGAGGCCAAATCTATAGTTTTTAAAAATTTTGTCTGTCTGTCTGTCTGTTACCCTATCACGGAAAACCACTAGAAGGATTTAGATGAAATTGAGTATGATGGTAGCTGGTTATCCGGGTCAACATATAGGATACTTTTTACTGCGAGAAAATTTCTCATCTATGATAAATCTATACTAAACGTTAAAACGTAACTAGGAGCGAACCGATATTTTTTCCTTGCAAGAAATTGTCCCCATTCTGGAAAAAGTGGTTATCTATTGGAGCAAGGGCCAGGGAGTATGGTGGGTGTCGCAGACATTCCAATCGCAGCTTCTCTACTTTAGAGACCGTCTGTTGTGCAGTGTGTGATCTAGCGTTGTCCTGAAGCAGCAATAAGCTATAGCAATTGACCAGTCTTGGTTATTTAACGGCTAGCTAACGGCAGATCTTAAGAAGCTGTAATGGATGACACCAGCACTGGTCCATCAGACATTTACCAGTACCTTTTTCTGAGTGACTTTTGCTTAGGGCAGGATTCGGCCGGTTCTCCTGGGTTCAACTATTGTGATGGGCGTTTCCGATAATCGTACAAGAAACATTTTTCAACGATAGGATTCAAAATCCTCTCGTTATTGTGACGGTTAAGTAATATGACGCAGCAATCGACGCGTGTATTCTATTATTAAGTAGGTATGGTGTATTATGTGGTGTGCTTCACTGTTTGCGATCAATCCGCTTTTACGATCACTTTTAATTCTTCATTGCCTTAGCCTTCTCAACCTACGTTATCCAAATCGGACTGTTACCTAATCAAAAATATATGATACCCTTAAATTAAAAAAAACGATACTTACTTTTATAAATTGCATAAACACTAAGAACATTTAAAACTATAGTAATATGTAATATTAAAACAAAAAACCAGAAACGAAAGTATATGAAAATAATAAACACATTACAGTTAACAATAAATTTCTTAGAAATTTACCTGGATCCTTCGAGCTGTTTCTGCAGTGTTGGTGGATTTTATGTTTCTCATATTGTGAACAGAACGATGAACAGAATGAACGAACGAAAGCAAATGAATCAATAAATTCGAAACACAAATACACAAGCCGCCAGATATTTAAAATCCAAGCCAATGAGAATGGCCAATTCAACAAAACGCCAATTTTATATGTAAAGACCTAATATATTATGTATGTTTAAAAAATACATTTATTTTATTCAAGTTAATCAAAGTAAAACTTCCTTGGTGTGTGTCAATTTTTTGCGTGATAATGAAAAAAAAAACTCAGGGGCAAGCAATCCAAGACTTACATATGGAAATATAAATACGATGTGAATTTGTACACCACATCATTAGTGAGTTTGAAACTATGATGGTAAGTTTACTTAGATAACGTACTATAATTTAAATATTAAAATTTAATATTTAATTAAAAATTTAGTCCATGGTATTTTTTCTTACTAGATGGCTTCCAAATCAATCGTGTTGCTGTGCTGCTTTATGGCATCGGTACTTGCTGTGCCTGTAGAGAAATACACAGACAAGTATGACCATATCAACGTTCAAGAGATTATTGAAAATAAGAGGCTGCTGGAGGCTTATGTGAACTGTATCCTCGACAAGGGCAAGTGCACTCCTGAAGGAAAGGAAATGAAATGTACACTTGAGTTTAATATTTATAATTCGTAATAGTGTTATTCTAATATTAATAGGAAAATTACAATTTTTGCTATAAGTTTTTTAAAATGACATACTTAATATTTGTTAAGTTTAACAAATAATAGGGGTTAAAGTATGCAATTGCCGATTGGTACTGAAAAATTGGAATTGTTTTTTTTTTTTAATTTAACATATTATTTAATCAAAATAATTATCATAATTATCTGTTCATTGGTGCCATCTAATAGAAAGGACATTTATACCTTTCCGATAGAACTCTGGTGATCTAGATTCGACAAACTGTGTGAAAGCATTTTGTACTACCTCCTGAGAAGAAAACTTTTTATCACGTAGAAAATTGTCTAAATCACGAAAAAAATGGTAATCCGTTGGAGCAAGGTCTGGCGAATACGGAGGGTGACGAATGGTTTCTAATTGCAGTTCCTGTAGAGTAAAACGGTTTCTCGTGCTGTATGAGGTCTCGCGTTATCATGGAGCAATAATGGTGAAGATCGATTCATGAGTCGGGGCTGTTTCGCTGCTAGGTTTGCTATCATTGTTCGGAGTTCAGCACAGTAGAAATCTGCCGTTATTGCTTGACCAGATCGGAGAAAGTGAATAACACCATGCTGAGACCTCCAAACAGTTACCATTACCTTTTTATTTGTAAGCTTTGCTTTAAGACACTGTTGCGGCGTTTGACCTGGGGTCAGTTATTGCATTTTTCGCTTACGGTTAACGTAAAGAATCCACTTTTCATCACATGTCACAATTCGATCTAATATTCCTTGATTTCGGTATCGATTCAACAAGGCAACACAAGTTTCAACACCCGTTTCTTTCTGCAGATCAGTCAAATCATGAGGCACCCATTTTTCATATTTTTTTATTTTATTGATTTGACGCAAATGATTCAAAATTGTTGGTAAGGTAACGTTAAACCATGCCGCTAATTCCTGGGTAGTTTGGCTCGGATCGGCTTCCACCATTTCTTTCAATTCATTGTTATTCACCTGCGTAGGTCTTCCACGTGGTTCGTTCTTCAACTCAAATTTTCCATCACGAAAGCGTTTAAACCAAAATCGCACGGTGCGTTCATTAGCAGTCCCCTCTCCAACCGCAACATTGATATTGCGAGCTGTTTCTGCCGCGTCAGTTCCGCGTCGGAACTCGTATTCAAAAATCACTCGAATTTTCAAAGTATCGATGTTTCTTGTGTAAGCTGAATAAAAAATAACTGGAAGTCGATAATCAAATGTTGCACATTTTTAAAAAGAAGAACTAAATAGGTACCATGTAAAAAAGTTTCACTCAAAAATCTCAAACCATGAAGGTTCTATGTCAATTCGAAGTATTTATTACAATAAAACTGCAATTTCATACGTTAATCCCTATTATTAAATTTTATTATGCTAGAAAATTAATATATCTTTTTTTCAAAGATAAATTGCTGCATCATAACGCCCGGACCTCACTGTAATTAAGTAATTTAATTATGTGAATTATATTAAGTGTTACATAGTGTTAAGTAATCAAATATGATTGAATTTAAGTGTTTATTTAGCTATTCGATTTAGTACTATCAAAAGTACATAAGCTCAGAGCTTGAGGTTGAGACAGGGTGTGAAGTATTATTGCTCATAGAGTACAAAAAAATATGGGTATGACTCAATTTTGTTACCTAAATAACATCTCCCTAGTTCTAAATAATAATGTCATTTCCATATATTTTTTAAGTTTTCTATCATTGATGATTAAGGCAGTGGTAGACCAGTGGTAACGCGCTCGCTTGGGAAACCGACTGAAGCGAGTTCAAATCCCGGGTCTCCCACCTCTGATATTTTCATGTGCGAATCATTTTCAACATGATTACCACTTGTCTTAACGGTGAAGGAAAACATCGTGAGGAAACCTGCATGTCTGAGAGAACCTAGCAAGTTTTCGAAGGACATGTGAAGTCCACCAACCGGCACTTGGCCAGCGTGGTGGACTATGGCCTGATCCCCCTCGTACTGAAGGGAGACCCATGCCCAGCAGTGGGACGTTAAAAAGGGCTGTATACCTACATACATCATTGATGACTGCGCTAAGAAGAAAAAGTAATATTATTTATATGACCAATGGACAGTCTGCCTTTGAGAATTTGTTTTACAATGACCGTGACAAGCATCCTACAACTCTAGACAACAGTATTTTAAATGTTGAATACAATAATTAGTTTTTATAATTAAATCTATATTACCTGATAATCTGCTCACACAATCAAAAAAATTCTACAAAAAAACATTTTAATAAGATATATTATTAATTTTCCGCGAAACAAATTCTACTATATGTATGTAAAATAACTATCCTATTTCTCCTTCTCAGTACACGTCCAGGATGCACTCGAAACTGGCTGTGAAAAGTGTACTCAAAAACAACAGGATAATGCTACCCTCGTGTTGGAACATGTGATTAAGCACGAACGTGGTATTTGGAAGGAGTTGACCGATAGGTTTGATCCTGATGGCGTCTGGAGGAAGAAATACGAAGAGCGCGCAAGAGCAAAAGGCATTATAATTCCTCAAGACTAATTTAAGGAAGGAGAATTAAACTTTCAAGTTGTTTCTAGTTTTTGTTCATGAATAAATAAAAATTACGTGCAGTATATTTTGTTTTCAATACATTTTAACTGTCATAAAAACCATTAGCAGTTATGCTTCGTTTTTAATCGGCTTTCAAAAAGGAGGAGGTTTTCAATTCGTCGGAATCTTCTTTTTATATGTATGTTCACCGATTACTCAAAGAAGCCTGAATCGATTTGGGAATATATTTTTTTTGTATAAAAGGTTTACTTTCCAGGTAGTCCCATATAAATTTTATCGAAATCGGTCAAGCGGTTTTTTTTTTAATCAATAAATAAATTATTTTTTTAAATAAATTGCTTAATCAAACATTTAAAACACTTTTTTCTAACAAATAACCTGCTTATTACGTCTACACTAAAAATTGACAAATAAAAACTTAAAAAAACCGACTTCCAGGCACTAAAATGTAAAAAATAAATAACGGGGGTTTCATTTAAAATAGATACCTAAACAGATATTTTCGAAGTCGGTGCCAGCCGACAATATTTTAAGATATGAATATCAAATGGGTAAATATGTGTTTTACGTATCGAAATATATTAGATTTGCTTTGCATCGGCTGGCACCGACTTCGAAAATATCTGATTAGGTATCTATTTTAAATTAAAACCCCCGTTTAGTTATTTTAACTTCAAAAATAAAAATTGTCTAATAACAGACAAGTGTTATGATGTAAGTTATGTTATCAAAAACTAAATAATAACCATAATATATTTACTACTTTTTTAATGTTGGAAATGCATAATATACATACAAATGGTTATGTGGGATTAACCGTGTAGTGAAGCCAGTACCCACTAAAACTCAACAGAACCTCCCCTGTCTTATTGGGGTGTCGCAGGATCGCTCACGCACTCAACCACGCCGCCCCGACACGATGGCATCCCTGCCGAAGCAGACCACACAACTAAGGAGTTGCTCCCACAATCCAGCTGCTGTCAGAGAAGTACTAGAAGCAACCCCCATGGTATAGCGTCCACCAAAGTGGGCTACTTCTCTGTATGTCTCTTGACTTTGTGGCCGGCTGGGTTGCCATATGCTAATGACCCACCACGACAAGGTAAACTCACATCGGGGAAATTGTATTAGAATATTTATGTATCTTTATATTTTCAGACTTTTCTCTAGGCCTTAAAAAGGCAAAAAGTCTGAAATAGTATACGAGTATGTCTATCTCCAAAGGTATATTCACAATAATTATTTTTATCTATTTTAAACGTACCTCTATAGGCGCACCCTAGCGAAACGAGAATATGTTGCTAGTAGAATAAAATTTCAATAAAGCAATATCATTGAAAAATAACTCAATATTATGCCAGGCGTAAATAAAATAATATTATCTCAGAGGCTTCATTTTTATACACAATATATGTACCTTAGATAGATATAGAATAAAAAACTTAAGAAAGATTTTATTCATTCTCGTCACAATGCGACTGTCGGGGGCAAATTGGGCAGATGTTTATAACTTTTTTTCTCATATTAATTGCCATTTACTTGATTTTAAACATTTTTCATGCAACATTTATTCGAAAAATGGGTTTTTTCTTTTTTAACAGACTTCAAAAAAAGGCACAATTCTACGCATACATATAAACATAATAATGTATGTAATAATATTGTAACTGCAATATGTTCACATATGATAATAATTAATCTATTGGGAGGAAATATATAAAATTATGTATGTTACTGTATAGCACTTAAGTGCTTGTAAGAAAAATTAATGTGGCTAAAACCAAACTGGCATCACGGTACGCCGCAAATACAAATAACTACTTGCTACAAACGAATATTTCCCTTAATTCTTTGCAGAAAAGAATCGGAAAAGATAGTTTTATTTAAAAAGTTATTTTCTTTTTGAAGTCGATTTAATTTGACACAATCTAATATTTCTGTCATACCACTTGTGCCCTTGTTCAGGCTCTTTCTCTTAATAAAAATATTAAATAAAAAAAGGCAATGTAGCGATTGATTTATCAACGCCCAGCCCTAACCGATGACGATAGAAATATAGAATTTGAAGAGAATGTAAAATATTGATGTTACACTGTAGACGTTATTTAAAAAAGGATTTTCGAAATTAATTTCACGAAAATTAATTTTGTATAACTATTTAAAATAAAAATAAAATAAATGAACTTACAAGTTATTAAAAGAGTAAAAGTAAAGCAAAATCTTTCATTCCCATGGCAAAGCACAATAATCTGTACTAATATTGTCCTACAAAATACCTACAAAAAAGTTGGCAACGACAATTATGTATATTTAACTTTTATATTTAAACCTACTTTGAGATATCACGATATAAGTAACACGCGGCCGCGAAGCCCAAATTATTTAGTTACATGTAATCAAGTTCTTCGGTGGCGCCGTGATATTGAACTGGGCATATTTAAAAACGTTAAATCTTCAAATAATAATTGATCCGAAACCTACATAAAATATTTATGTAAAATCTTGTTAAAATAGGCATCATCATCAATACAGAGGCCGAATCTATAGTTCTTAGAATTTCTGTCTGTCTGTCCGTCTGTCTGGGAACGCATCACGAGAAAACCATTGGACGAATTCTAATGAAATTTAGTATGGTGATAACTGGGTGTCCGGGTATATAGGATACTTTTTACTGCGGGAAAATATCTCATCTCTTAGAAAAAATACAAATTCTGGTTAGAATAAAACCATGCTGAAATATATAAATATTTTATGAAGGTAACTACCAAATAGATCAAAAAACTATGATACAGGGCCATTTTTAATCTACTGAAGACCTTTAGGGAATATACTATTTACAAACAACATCTGTAAGAAAAAAAAATATTTCTTATTTTTTTTATTTTCACCCAAAAATAAAAATATTTTTATTGCACCTTCTAAAGCGCGTGGCCGGTGGAGTGGGAGGAGTGGAGGAGTAAGGAGGCGGCGCTTACTCATTTTTTGACCAGATGCTAGGACTAATACCGTTTTGGTGCAATAAAATTTTGTGTTTGTATGAAAATTAAATAAATATTATTTTTCTTACAGATGTTGTTATTATGATGTAAATAGTATATTTCTAAAAGGTTTTCAGTAAATTAAAGATGACTCTGTATAATCATAATGTTTTCCTGACCGATTCCGGCCACGGCGCCCTATCTCATTGAGACTAGCCAACTGCACAGGAGAAATTATAGTGCACAAGTGTACGCGCAGACACAACGTGCACTCTCTATTCCTGTTACTCTCATACTCCGGTGGGACGACCACTCGACACGACCAGTGAGAGTTAAGGCGCAGGACCGACGGCTTTACGTGCTCTCCGAGGCACGGGGGTGAAACACCGTCAACTTCCCGACTCCGGGCTGTTACTGAAACTTACTATACAGAAAGACTCAATAACTAAACTTGGCCCGACCCGGGACTCGAACCCAGGACCTCCGAGTGTGCAGCCGTACATGCTAGCCACTACACCACCGAGATAGTTAATACCCTGTATATAGCTGTAATGTAAGAACAAAATGAGAAAACTTGCAAAATTTATTACTCTTTAATAATAGCAGGTGTAATATATAGGTACCGGGGAGGATTACACACATACTCACTACAAACCCCTTGGCATTTTGAAAAAAAAATAAAGAATTTATATATGTTTTTTGTCACATATTTCATTTTAGAATACTTCTTTAATCTTTACATATTTGGAAACATGATGATGATGATGTTCTCCTAGCCGATTCCGGCCACGGCGGCTAATCTCATTGAGACTAGCCAACTGCGCAGGAGATATTATAGTGCACAAGTTTACGCGCAGACACAAGTGCACTCTCTATTCCTGTCACTCTCATACTCCGGTGGGATGACTGCTCGACACGACCAGTGAGAGTTAAGGAGCAGGACCGACGGCTTTACGTGCTCTCCGAGGCACGGGGGTGAAACACCGCCAACTTCCCGACTCCGGGCTGTTACTGAAACTTACTATACAGAAAGACTCAATAACTAAACTTGGCCCGACCCGGGTCTCGCACCTCTGATATTTTCATGTGCGAATCATTTCTAACATGATTACCACTTGCCTTACGGTGAAGGAAAACATCGTGAGGAAACCAGCATGTCTGAGAGAACCTAGCAAGTTTTCAAAAGACATGTGAAGGCCGCCAACCCGCACTTGGCCAGTGTGGTGGACTATGGCCTGATCCCCCTCGTACTGAAGGGAGGCCCGTGCCCAGCTGTGAGACGTTAAAAAAAGGGCTGAATACATACCTATATATAAAATAATGTAATTTAATATTTATTTAATACAGAATTTACACAAATATAAATTACATTTAGGTACGAAATAACAGGTAACAGAAAAATATATCTCTATAAATAAATAATTATAGTAATCCCAATATTTTTTTATAAATTTTGAATCAACATTTTAAACGAAATTATCCTAAAATGTTGAACAGTTAAAAAAAAATTTAATGTATCAGTATGTACCTACATACTTGTATTCATTAGTTAATAAATTTTTTTTAATTTAATTTGTTTTTTCTTTATCACAAAAAAATACTTTGTTTCAACAATAATAGTTTTTACGAATCCTTGGTATAATAACTACTAAACCGGTTTTCATAACATATTACCTAATTAATTATTTCATAGGAATAAACATACTGAAGAAATATTATAACAAAAATTATAATTAATAAATGTTATCATACGTATAAAGAAATTTTAAAGTTTGTGAGTAGGTTGGATGTTTGTTACTCGTTCACGCCAGAACGGCTGAACGGATAAAAATGAAATTTATTACAGAGATAGATTATAGTCTAGAATAACACATAGGCTACTTTTTATCCCAGAAAAATAGATGATTCATGATAATGAACACGAGCGAAGCGAGGGTGAGCCGTTAGTATAATATATTTTAAGTATTGGCAAGTAGGTACTTGCGACAAAAAACAATTATAGCAAATAAATTGATCATTCCGGCAATAGTTTAGATAAAGAATTAATAAAAACTTAATTAATAATAACTAGCGACTTAACTTACCCTTGCTTCGCTCGGGCTCGTGCCTAGCTTGCTTCTCAATACAAATATTCATACCCATTTTCACCCCTTAAGGGATGATTTTCGAGTTAAAAAGTATTCTATGTCCTTCCCTGGGACTCAAACTATATTCTTACCGAATTTTATCTAAATCGGTTCAGTAGATCCGGAGATTACCCGCTACAACTTCACAAACTCACAAACTTTACCTCTTTATAATATTAGTATAGATACATTCACTATTGTTGACAATGTAATATTTCGATTAACTAGTCATTATTCATCTCGCGAGCTTTTTAGTTTATAAGTTTACGTCACATAGGTAGGTATAAATGTATGTATGTACATGGCTTAAGTTTAGATATGGGCATATAAATACGACGTGAATTGTACACCACATCATTAGTGAGTTTAAAACTGTGATGGTAAGTTTACTTAGATAATGTACTATAATTAACCGACTTCCAAAAACGAGGAGACTTCAATTCGTCGGAATCTTTTTTTTTATGTATGTTCACCGATTACTCAAAGACGCCTGAACCGATTTAGATTTTTTTGTTTTGTTTGAAAGGGTATTCTTCCCAGGTGGTCCCATATAAATTTTATCGAAATCGGTCGAGCGGTTTTTAAAACATCAACAATAAATATTATTTTTTAAACAAATTGCTTAATCGAATAAGTTTTTAAAACTTTCTTCCTACAAATTACCTGCTTATTACGTCTACACTAAAAATTTAAAAATAAAAACTTTTTAACAAAAAATAAAATCGACTTCCAGGTACTAAAATGTAAAAAATAACTAAACGGGGTTTTCATTTAGAATAGATACCTAATCAGATATTTTCGAAGTCGGTGCCAGCCGATGCATAGGAAATCGAATATATTTTGATACGTAAAATATATATTTACCTATTAGATATTCATATCTTAAAATATTGTCCACTGGCACCTGGAAGTCGGTTTTATTTTGTGTTAAAAAGTTTTTATTTAAATATTAAAATTAATATTTAATTAAAAATTTTGTCCATAATATTTTTTCTACTAGATGGATTATAAATCGATCGTGTTGCTGTGCTGCTTTATGGCGTCGGTACTTGCTGTGCCTGTGGAGAAATACACAGACAAGTATGACAACCTCAACATTCAAGAGATTATTGAAAATAAAAGGCTGCTAGAGGCTTATGCGAACTGTTTCCTCGACAAGGGCAAGTGCACTCCTGAAGGAAAGGAAATGAAATGTACAGTACTTAAGTTTAATATTTCTAATTCGTAATAGTGTTATTCTAATATTTATAGGAAAAGTTTAAGAAATATTAAATTTTGTTATGCTACAAAATTTAAATATCTTTTTTCAAAGATAAATTGCTGCATCATACCGCCCGGACCTCACTCTAATTGAGTAATTTAATTATGTGAATTATATTAAGTTACACTTAATATAATTCGACTTTGAAAATATCTGATTATGTATCTATTCTAAATGAAAACCCCTGTTTAGTTATTTTTTACATTTTAGTGGCTGGAAGTCGGTTTTTTTTAATTTTTATTTTTCCACTTTTAGTGTTGACATAATAAGCAGCTAATTTGTAAGAAGAAAGTTTTTTAATAACATATTCGATTAAGCAATTTATTGAAAAAAATATTATTTGTTGATTTTTTTAAAAACCGCTCGACCGACTTCGATAAAAATTTAAATGGGAACCACCTGGGAAGTATACCCTTCGAAACAAAGAAATCTAAACTGATTCAGGCGTCTTCGAGTAATCGATGAACATAAATTAAAAAAAAAGATTCCGAGGAATTGAGAACCTCCTCCTTTTTGGAGTCGGTTAAAAATATGGGCATGACTCAATTCTGTTACATAAATAACATGTCCTAAAAATATGTCATTTCCATATATTTTTTTTGTTTTCTATCATTGACGACTACGCTAAGAAAAAGTATAATTATTATTATTTATATGACCAATGGACAGTCTGACTTTGAGAATTTGTTTACAATGACCGTGACAAGCCAGTATTTTAAATTTTGAATACAATAATTAGTTTTTATAATTAAAGCTAAAGCATATTACCTGGTAATCTGCTCACATAATCAAAAAAATTCTATAATTTTTTTTATAAGATATATTATTAATTATCCGCAAAAAAATTCTGTTAAATGTCTGTAAAATAACTATCGTATTTATCCTTCTCAGTACACATGCAGGATGCACTCGAAACTGGCTGTGAAAAGTGTACTCAAACTCAACAGGATAAAATTACCATCATGTTGGATCATGTGATTAAGCACGAACGTGGTATTTGGAAGCAGTTGACCGACAGGTTTGATCCTGATGGTGTCTGGAGGAAGAAATACGAAGAGCGCGCAAGAGCAAAAGGCATTATAATTCCTCTAGATTAATTAAAAGACGGAATTAAACTTTCAAGCTGTTTATAGTTTTTGTTAATGAATAAATAAAAATGAAGTGTAGTATATTTTGTTTTCAATTCATTTTAACTGTCATAAAAACCATAAGCAGTTATGCTTGCTTTATTTTTAATTAAATAATTTTATCAAGTAATAAATAGCTTTATTGATGTAAACGCTCATCAAGTCATTAAATTGGCAAATTAAAAAAACTTATGTACTTATGTTACGTGTATACTATGTACGCACGTAAGAAGTTATTCTTCTTTGGCGTAACAGAACCAAAATAGCTAAAGATTTCATCTCATATATATCTCTCATTCAACTCTCTGTTTGTAAAAGGAATGATAAATTAATAAAAAAAGGGTGCGTGTTATCCTTTACGCGCGGTTGAAGTAAAACTTCTTTGGCAAATATCGCAATTAAATTAAAACAATCAATAATTAAATAAGGCATATTAAGTATATTACAGTCATATATTTATAGAATATCATTTATCTATACATATAATAAAACTGTAACTAAGCCGAATCTGTACATTAAATATTTTATGGAAAATTATATTGAAATAGACATGATTATCGATACAGAGACCAAATCTATAGTTTTTAGAATTTTTGACTGTCTGTGTCGGTCTCCCTGTCTGTCTGTTACCGCATCATGGAAAAGCCACTGGAGGGATTTTGATGAAATTTGGTATGATGATAGCTGGTTATCCGGGTCAAAATATAGGGTACTTTTTACCGCGAGAATATTACTCATTTCTGAAATACCTAAGAATTTGGTTTAGAAAATAGTCGGGCAAAACGATATTAATCATATTTATCATTTCAGTTATTCTCGAACAAAAAGCAAACGCTAAATTAGGAACTTATTAACAGATTAATATTTTCACAATTATTAAAAGCTAATTGTCAATAGAAGCAGTACAGTTAAGCTCACTCAAAAACATTCTCTTCTTTTATCTATATTTACTTCTTTATACCTTCAATCTTAGTCTTTCTTCCACTAAGTTCTTGTCCTTAAAACATGTAATCAAAGTTACAATTACATTTTTATTTAGTTAAAATACCTAGATTTCTAATAAATCTACTACCAACAATCTAACCTATAGACTCTTTCACAGATACTTATAATAAAAAAAAATCAAATTATTTATTTAGTGTTATATATATAAAGTACATTATATTATAGGCAACATATAAATAAGGATAAAAAATATAATTACTAGGCAGTTTTTATACTGCTGGTCATTATACAAAAAAAAAGATTTCAATTCAAACTTTTTTTTTGTTAATTTTTTTTTAGTTTTTGTCAATTGTTTGAATTTAAAATCATGTAAACAATGGAAGTTTACTAGTTATTACATCAGGCTGTAATAAAATCTCGAGAATCATATTAGTGTACGAATTCCTTTTCTTAAATGTACGTAAAAGTTTCGCGTCAGGGAATTGAAGCGTGGTTTATAGATATGAACCTGATCTATCGTTGGGAACAGTTTTCATGCAATATTTTAGTCCAATTAATAGTTGTGATTGAATATAAAAATGTTGAAACTATCTAATTTTTACAAAAGGATTGATATATTGTAATAAATGTAATTGTACTTCGGATTCTAATTCTTGAAAAAAAAACGAACAAAATTATTAAATGATAAATAGTAAAAGTTATATATGAAATACCTGTTAGATATAAATTAATAATACATTTTTTTTAGAATTTTACAATATTTGTTAGCTATTTCAAAACCCTATCTTATTAGTAATATTAATTATTGTTTGCTATTACAAAACTCTAACAACTAAAAAACTTAACTCTAAAAAAACTCATATCGTAACTATATAAAACAATTCCAATGTTTAAAATTATTTTTAAATATTTTTTAGCTGTTGCCTTATAATAATATTGATTGATGCAGACTTCGGTAGTAGAAAATGTTTATGTTGATTTCCTTTTCATTTTATTTTTCCAAACATTCTGACATTATTTTCATGACATATTCATTTTTACATTTTTCCAAAACTTCTGGAGTTATTTTCTTCATTTTTACAAAATGTTCTTCTTAGATTTTTGAATTGGCTTCCAAGGACAGTATTTTTATTTTATTTCTGCTCATAAAATTACACTCAGACATTGTAGAAGTATATTTGTATATCGGGGGGTACGGCAGTGCCCCCGCCAAGTCGAGCAAACAAATCGAGCAAAAAAGGGCACGGCAGAACCATCCTTTTCTCGAGCCGATTCAGAGCATTTTCCACCCCCCCCCCCCTCGCCATAACTTCGTTATGGATAAAGCTAGAAGCTTGAATTTTGATATATTTTTCAGATTATATCTTTTTTTTCTTCGTAATTTCATCTGCATTTTCGTTAAAAAAACTTCTTTTTTCCTGCGGTATGCGTTTCTTGTGTAGCGCTTCCCCGTCTAGTAGGTTCGCCATGTATGTTGCCATGTATGGTCACCATGTAACAAAATCAGACAACTGTTTGGCTGTAAGGTTCGTTTATTACTCTTTAACCATAGCAGGTCGTACAATACTTACCAGGCAGGCTTACACACATATTATACACTACAACTTATCTTGAAAAGAACTATACCAATAGCGATATTTTTACATAATATAAAATATCTCGACAAATATTTAGTTATATGTAATTTAGAAAATCATCACTAGATGTCACCATCATCATCTCTGAAAATAAATCCCAAATTACTTGGGGTCGGCGCAGTACGCTAGCATACTGCTGATCGGTTTTGGCAAAAGTTTTACGACCGGTGGCCTACCTGACATCAACCCTCTTTGGACTAGATATCGCCATATGTTTTTAAAATACGTAATTTAATTGAATTTGGAAGTTCTTTTAACTCAACTATTTAGATTATTTTATCACCATATCTTGAAAGGTAAAGAAGGAACGTTTATCTTTGACACATTACAATGCTTATATTACTGATGAATGACTTTAGAGTTATATAGCCCATATCAGCATTGCCCGCCGTTGCACCCGCGTTCAGATGACCAAAAAACAAATTCTTAGGTTTTACATATTAGTATAATCTTACATTGCAGTTTTAGTATTTTTTTTTAAAAAATGAAATATTTTCCCACGGTAAAAAATATCCTATATGTTGAGCCGAATGACCAGCTACCATCATACCAAATTTCATCAAAATTTGTCCAGTGGTCTTCTCGTGATGCGGTAACAGACAGACAGACAGACAAAAATTCTAATAACTATAGATTCGGCCTCCGTATCGATTATAATGACTATTTCAATAAGATTTTCCAAAAAATATTTAATGTACAAATTCGACTTAGTTACACTTTTATTATATATATGTATAGATTAGCCGAGCTGGAGTGATAAAAAAATTGCTTAGAAACATTTACCGTATTTATGTACTGTCTGAAACTGTCACTTGCCCGATTTTCATATTTCAAGACGAAAACAAAAAGTAACAAACATTTTAATTTAAAAATTATTTCGGGTAGTAATAATAACAAATAAATAAATTTTTCCTCTATATAATATTTATATAGAAGTATAGATATACTAAAAATTTTGTTTTTGATCTGAAAAATGAAATATTACTAAATTAAATATGATATTAAAAGGACAACCTTTCTGGCGTTGCTAATTAGCTCCGTGTTTTTATTTAATCTTGCGGTGCACAATGAATCTGATTTTAAATTATTTTAAAATTAGTTTAGTATGTTTAGAGTTTATTACCTACAAACAAATAAAACTTTCCTCTTTATGGTATATAGTGATGATGATGTTCTCCTAGCTGATTCCGGCCACGGAGGCCAATCTCACTGAGACTAGCCAACTGCGCAGGAGACGATGATGATGATGTTCTCCTGACCGATTTCGGCCACGGCGGACAATCTCATTGAGACTAGCCAACTGCGCAGGAGATAATATAGTGCACAAGTGAGTGCACAGACACAAGTGCACTCTCTATTCCTGTCACTCTCATACTCTGGTGGGACGACGACTCGACACGACCAGTGAGAGTTAAGGCGCAGGACCGACGGCTTTACGTGCTCTCCAAGGCACAGGGGTGACACACCGCCAACTTCCCAACTCCGGGCTGTTACTGAGACTTACTATACAGAAAGACTCAATAACTGAACTTGGCCCGACCCGGGACTCGACCCCAGGACCTTCGAGTGTGCAGCCGTACATGCTAGCTACTACACCACCGATGCAGTTAATTATATGGTATAGTATAGATATACTATATAAACGTAAACGTAACTGTATAAATATTGTTATTAAAACGGAAAATGCAATCTTACGAAATTAAATAACAGATTAAAGGAGGAATATTTTTCTCAATCTTGCGTTGCACAATGAAACTAAGTATATTAATATGTAAAAACTATACTAGTAATTAAATAAAAATATACCTACCTAAACTTATAGGATTTATCAAATTTAGAACCTTTTAGAAATCATGAATTGTTTTAGGGTATTATATTTGTTTCAGCAAAAGGTAAATAAATTGTAAATATACGTCAGAACATACTATAAAATACATTATATTATAATTGCTGCCTGTAAACTTATCCTCGTGTACGTAAGTTGAAGGTCAAATTCTATTATGAAAATAAGAAAGAGTTTGGAATATTTTTCTATGGAAGCTGGCATTACGAACCCATTTCTTTCAAAGTAGAGGCCCACGATGAAACTGGTATGAGCTGATAGAGGACACAAACTATATAGACTGCACTATGGTGTCCTAAAAAGTCACGTTCCCGAAATATTCGACGTAAAAATTTTGCTAAAATGACGCTAGTATGAGAACCACGACACGTATTTTTTTAATACAACTGATATATAACACGTTATGTGTAGTGCATTTTAATGATAACCTATATTTTTATTTATTTGACAATCTTTACCTTCAAATATCTGGGAAATGTGACACTTTAGGGCATTATCTATACATATAATAAAATTGTAACTCAGTCGAATCTGTACATTAAATATTTTTTGGAAAATCTTATTGAAATAGTCATTATTATCGATACAGAGGCCAAATCTATAGTTTTTAGCATTTTTGTATGTCTGTCTGTCTGTCTGTCTGTCTGTTACCGCATCACAGAAAAACCACTGGAGGTGATTTTGATAAAATTTGGTATGGTGATAGCTGGTTATCCGGGTTAACATATAGGATACTTTTTACCACCGGAAAATATTTCATTTCTGAGAAAATATACAAAAACTGCATTGTAAAGAGTATACTAATACGTAAAGCCTAAGAATTTGGTTTTTGGCCATCTGAACACGTGCGAAGGCGCGGACAATGCTAGTATTACATATAAAAAAATATTCGTTACAACTTCTTCAATTACTAAACAATTATATTATAATTGGAGATCCCATTTTATGTGGTGGACCCCTCACTCTTTTTTCAGATGATTTTTTAAACCATAAAACATATTAACAAACACGACCTAGGGGGAGTGTCACCAAAAAAATTTTTAGGAGCTCAGACTATTAGTACCTCTTACATATTATAAATATAATTAAAATTGGCAGCAAAATAATTGAAATAAAACTTCCTATGCACGTGCACATTTTTATGCACTGGGCGTAGGTGAAACAATGATCTCAGGGGCAAATTAGTTATGTTAAACTTTGATGCAACTACTATAAATACAACTGTCACTGTACATCATACCATAAGTCACCATAACGTAGTGCGACACTATAACGGTGAGTTTTATATAAAGACCATTAAATATTTATAAAATAAAACCTATGTTTTTATAATATGATCTCCTTCAGATGATTTCAAAGCAGATCATGTTGCTGTACTGCTTTTTATCATCAGTACTCGCTGTGCCTGTCGATAAGTATACAGACAAATATGACAATATCAATATTCAAGAGATTTTGGAGAACAAGAGGTTACTGCAAGCGTACGTCAACTGTCTCCTTGACAAGGGAAAGTGCAGTCCTGAAGGCAAGGAACTAAAAGGTTAGTAGGTATAACGCCAATTGGTAGATAAATACTTTATTACAGAACAGAAGAATAATAAAACGAGATAGGAAGAGTGTAAAGCAAGTAGTGATAGAACAATTAGAACACTTATTAAAAACTAAAATTACAGCTATTTGACCAACTGCGCTAAAAGGGATCCTTGAAAACACAACAATAATCTCATACTCGAAGTTCATGAGTTCCAGTATTGTTATACCTCTTGGTCCAACCATCAGCTTTCTACAGCTTATGTCACATTCTTTCAAAGTTTTAAATTGATACAACGATTGGAAGTTTGAAATGAAGGTTAATAGCTCCAATAATGAAAAAATAATCTTTGTAAATACAATGATATATTGACAAACAAATTCACTTTAAAAATTAAAAAAAATATGTAGCTTATTATTTGGCATTTTGTTTCAGTTATTAGGTTTTCATCAATAAATGAAATAAATATTTGTACTGTTTTTAAAAGACAAAAAAGGGAGGTTTTAAATTCGACACTAATTTTTTTTATGTTTGACTACACACATGTCTTTACAGTGTAGTCCGACTTCGAAGATTATTTTCTTTTTAAAAGTAAATTCCATTTTCATTTTAAAAAATATCCACCCATATGTATAGAAAATAGAGGTAATTAATTTTTCATCTACTGAATTTTTAAAATACATTCTTTTTACTTTTCTAAAAATGTAAAAATAAAAACTGACTTCAAAATAAAACACTAAAAAGTAAAAATAACTGATTGGTAGTTTTCATTTACTATAGATACCTAATCAGATATTTTGAAGTCGGTGCCAGCCGGTACAACTCAAAGCACACTGACTTCGAAAATATCTGATTAGGTATCTATTGTAAATGAAAACTACCAATCAGTTATTTTTTACTTACTAGTGTTTTAAGTCGGTTTTTTTTACGTTTTTATGTCGTAATCTATGTAAATAAGACGGAAAAATAAAAATCTTTAAGAAGTACTTTATTAGTAAAATAAGAACGTCAGATAAATGAAAGCATAAAGGTCTATTATTACATTACTTTGTATTATTACCTACACTACTTACATGGTGTTTCTGCATATAGACAGAATTTCATTTTATTTTTAACCGACTTACAAAAAAGAGGAGGTTCTGAATTCGTCGGAATCTTTTTTTTATGTATGTTTACCGTTTACTTGAAGACGCCTGAACCGATTTGGATTTTTTTTTGTTTCAAAGGGTTCTTCCTAGGTGGTCCCATATAAATTTTATCGAAATCAGACGAGCGGTTTTTTAAAAATTCAACAATGAAAATTAATTTAAATAAATTGTTTAACACGTTAAGTGCGAAGCGAAAACGTCGATATTATTTTTCCCATCACTAATCGCAGCGTGCCCTATTTCAGTGCGATCAGATCCTTTATCTTTGATTTCGCGCCAGAAAATGGATTTTAGTCTGTAAAAGGAGGTGGGGTCTAATAGACCGCGTGTCGCCCTAACGTCTGGTCACGGTACGGGCCGATTATACCTCGTGCCGCAGGAATGGAAAGTATGCAAAAATTGGTGCCGCAGCTAACGTGTTAATCGAATATGTTATTAAATAACTTTCTTCCTACAAATGAAAAAACAAAAAATTTTAAAAATAAATAAGACCGACTTCCAGGCACTAAAATGTAAAAAATAACTAAACGGAGGTTTTCATTTAGAATAGATACCTAATCAGATATTCTCGAAGTCGGTGCCAGCTGACAATATTTTAAGATATGAATATCTAATAGGTAAATATGTATTTTACGTATCGAAATATATTAGATTTGCTTTGCATCGGCTGGCACCGACTAAATGAAAAACTTTTTTTTTTTTTAACGTTGGGACTAAATGAAAACCTACATTTAGTTATTTTTTACATTTTAGTGCCTGGAAGTCGGTTTTTTTAAGGTTTTATCCTTGATAATAATTATTTTACTTAACAAAGATATACTTTCACAATCACTTCAAGTACTTCACCTACATGCCGAGATGTATATTTTTAATTTACAAAACATACAAATGAACTAAGTACCTCTTTTTATTATCCCCAATATATTGAAACGTATCTCTTTTTATCAATTCCAAGTTGTACATATACAATATAAATATCAAAGCGTAAAATGAAAAATAGACAAATAAGCATAATATTCGTTTCAAAATGAATATTAGTTGCCTTATGATGAAGGTCCACCGTGGTGGTGGACCGTGGTCGTCGTTAACGTGAACGTCGTGAGAAAACTTGCATGAATGATATGTAAAGTACACCAATCCTCCTTCACCAGCGTGGTCGACCATGGTTTTAAACCTCCTCGCATTTAAGGGAGGACTGAGTCCAACAATTGGACGTTAAGAAGGTTGAATACGAATGCAACAATATTATTGACGATAAATAATTTTACTATTATTTTTCAGATCATATGCAAGATGCTCTCGAGACTGGCTGTGAGAAATGTACCGATGCTCAATTAAATGGGGCTACTACTATGATAGAGCATCTGATTAAGAAGGAACGCGGTATTTGGAAAGAACTAACCGATAAGTTTGATCCCAAGGGCATCTGGAGGAAGAAATACGAAGACCGTGCGAGAGAGAAGGGTATAGTTATCCCTAAAGATTAAAATACTGAATACAGAATTGATTTGAATTAAATCTTTTATATTGACAATTCATGTTTTATTTTTATATAAAATTAATTTAAATGAAAGATAAAATTGGAAAAATATATTACGAACTTTGTGTTTTATAAAGCGATCTATAAGAACATATTTTAATCAAAATCAATATTTAACGGCGACCTCAGGTTTACATTACATTGAGGTATACTGTCATCATAAAATAACTATTAGACTTTTCTACTTAAGTGCCTATAAATATAGTTGTTACCTATTTCATTTTTTTATAAGTAAAAAATATCTCAACTTGCCAGAATCTTTTTAACCTACACTTTTTATTAAAGAGTAGGTACGTTTTTTTTTGAGCGGAACCCTAATTCTTTTTCTAAAATAAAAATAGCCTATGTTACTCCCTACAACATCAGCTATCTTCCAGTGAAAGTACCGTCAAAATCAATCCAGTCGTTTCGGAGATTAGCCGGAACAAACAAATAGACTGACAACAAAATTGTAAAAAAACTGTTGTTTTGGTATATGTACCGTGTATACATCCATATGCGGTTATTTTAATATTACAAACAGACACTCCAATTTTATTTATCTGTATAGATTAATTTAAGTATTACGGCTAAAGTCTGAATAGTTATTTAAATACAGTATAAAAATGTTTTTCTATAATATTTTTTTATTTTATCAAATTATTCCAAAAGGTTTGTCATAAATTATTTATTATTATACTCGTATGACAGGTATGAAAATGAACTAAATCTGACAATGACAGTGAACCATCTCCTGTATATCTCATATAAACGACATTGAAATGACTCATGCAATAAATGATTATACAGTGGTAATAACACTTAATCAATAGGACAATGGACGTAACATTAATTACAGTGTTACTGGTTCTCACTGTTTCAAGGGATCATAGATTAAGTTACGATAACAGATGCATATTTTCATATTTTTAAAGAAAAACTTCTTTAGGCGTGACTGAGGGGTAATTAACAATAAAATACATTAACAAAATGAGTGTCGCGGAAGTGCGAGTCAAATTTAATTTATTATTATTAATTTATTCTTTTTTTATCTAATAATTATTATTTATAAAAATATATATAATAATTATTAAAAAACTTATAGTAATTATTACTTATATAATTTATAATTATTAATATTTATATTTTGATTTGTTTTATTTTAATTTAGTCAATTGCCTTAAAGACGTTTTACTTCAAACGCGCGTAAAAGTTGCACGCACACAGTTTTAGGGTTCCGTACCTCAAACGGTAAAAAAGGAACCCTTATAAGATCACTCTCTTGTCCATCTGTCCGTCTGTCTGTCCGTGTGTCACCAACGATTTACTCAGGAACGGGCAAATTTAGATTTTCGCGAAAACCTAAAGTGTTGTAAGTACCAAAATTTACCTCAATTTTCAACCTTTTTTATTTTCCGGAATTTTCCCTTTACTGACCTTGCTTTTAACCAAAATCGACAATTATAGGTCAACCGGAAGTACCCTATAGGTTTTGGGTCGAAAATCTATATGGTACTTCCCGTTGACCTAGAATCACAAAATTTTGCAAAAAGCAAGGTCTTACTTACAGCACAAATAAAAATAATTTCTAAAAAATAATAAAAATGAAAATAAAGTAAACCGTGTAAGATTTCCTACAAATTTGTACGGAACCCTCGGTGGGCGAATCCGACTCGCACTAGTCCGGTTTTTTTATGCTTATTTTTAATTAATTTTCATCGTTTAAATTTGTTATTTGTACTTAGTGAAAAAACTTAAGCCATAACTAATTAATTCTCATTCTACCGCCCTGAACGCCCTGCGAAAAGGCTTGCTGGCTCACGCTGGATGGATAGACTCCAAGGTAGAAAAAAGAGGCGTAACGTGAGGGAAACATACGTTCAGAAGTAGATGGGCATAGGTTGTTTATTGATTGATTGGCTTTTATCCTTGTTCGAATGAACCAATCTGGTCCACAAACATAAATAATCAATGATTTGTTGCGAGCATGACGAATTTTTCTAGTGTTTAATTTTTTCCTCCGCTCAAACCAAAATCCTGAATCCGCCACTGAAGCCATTCCACCACACTGGCTGCATGCATGTACTTGGCATGTTAGCGGAGTTCACATGTTTTTCAAAAATTTACTAGTTTACCTCAGTAACATTAAAATTGTTACAATTGTATTAGATATCTAGAACCAGATTATTTAATAAATTTAACATATAACTTAAAAAAATACAATAAAATTTATTTATTTTAAAAATTGTTGTTAAAACAGTTTAAAAATTAAAAATACAAAAATAGTAGACACAAATTTTATATATTTTTTTTATTTATTTCAGGCAATATTTACAAAAAGACCTTAAATATGTAAACAGAGGGCTATAACATAAATGAATATTTGCAATAATTATCTTGCATGTTATCCCGTTCAGAAAGGGAAGAACTTCTTTCATCTTTTAAAAATATATATATTGTCAGTTTAAATCTAACAACAACAACAATATGAAAGCTGCAATAATAACTATTTTATAAATATAATATTAATAAAAAGTTAAACAAAACAAGCATTACTTAGCTAAGGGAATATTTACACAATTTTCCATTCACATACAATGCACACAAGTTATATTTATAATATTGCTAATACTAACAGATAGAAAAATTAAACCATTTTTGTGTTCCGTATATTAATCTATACAAGCCGAATCTGTACATTGAATATTTTTTGGAAAATCTTATTAAATAGACATTATTATCGATACAGAGGCGGAATCTATAGTTTTTAGAATTTTTATGTCTGTCTGTGTGAAGGGATTTTGATAAAATTTGCTATGGTGATAGCTGATTATCCGGATCAACATATAGCATACTTTTTACCGCGGGAAAATATCAAGTAATAAGAAGTGATTCTTAGAAAAAAATCAAAACTGCAATATAAGTTTATACTAACTGTGAAACCTAAGAATTAGGTTTTTGGTCATCTGAACGCGGGCGGAGCCGCGGGCAATGCTAGTATATTTTATACATATATCCGTATCCCAGTAAAAGTCAAAATGCTTATGAAGTGATTTGCGTGTCGTTGTCACGTTCAATTTCTCTGCTGATCAGAAAAAAAGGATTTATCACACTAATATATTCCGTAAGAAAATAAATTAACAATATATATTCATTATTTGTTGTTTGTCCGTATTGTCACATTTTTTGCTATTTAATTATTCTAGTACTAATTACGAACGTCCTTACTTTTTGCGACTTGATACAAAAAAATTGAGTTTTCTTTATATACGAGTATATAACACTAGCGACGTATCCTCGTATCGCTCGGATGTGTCCGTCCGTAGGTACATTTAAAATAGATATGAATATTTAAAAAAACATATTTCGCGGATTTATTTTGATTTTTGGTTTCCGACGTTTCGAATGCTTTACAACAATCATCGACTAACGTTTTAGACATCTCAAAAGCGTTATATACTTGTTACAGACAGTTCCTACCCACAATTTTACAAAAATGATTTCAAAAATTCAAAAATGGCACCAAAGTACCTTACAATGTTTGTTAATTCATTTTAAAAATGTTAATAAGTATTATAATTAAATACAGTAATATGATTTATTTAATTTTAGGTGTTGTTGTTATAAATATTAGATTTTTTTAAACTTTCTTAATTAATAATATTATTTAGTGTTGCCATTACTATAATATGTGTAACCACAAAGAAAATTAAAAATATAGATTATTTATTTAAGCAATATTATTGTCTTAAGTATGTGTAATTTAAAAATTTAGATTGCTATTATTTAAAGTTAAAATATTAAGCAACACTATTGCTATCTTTACAGATAAAAAAAATATATTAATTTGAATTACTGTTATTGCGACCCACACCTACCTACATCTAACGGTCTGTTATGTTTGTTTTTGTTGTTGAATTTTATTATGTTTATTACAGGATCCTATGATGATGGTGGTCGTAGAACCCAGCCATCTTCTCTATTGAAGTTTGGATGTTTTTTTTTTTAATTTCAATAGCTTCGCGTATAATTTTTGTATTGCGAGTATTTGTGGACTATCGAAGCGAATGTAGCGGCTTGGGCGATCTTGGCTATGTTTACAGACTGCAGATGTTATATTGCGACACATTGAATCTAGATATTAAAAATCTTATTCCATCATGTGCAATACCGCCTAAGTTGTATGGACTTCCGAAAATACACAAGCCTAACGCTCCGCTACGTCCAATTGTGAGTCAGATCGACTCATCGACTTACAAATTGCCTAAACTAGTTTCTCGTGGAAATGAAAGATTTTCTTGTAGTAAAAAATATCCTAAACGTTGACCCGAGTTTATTTTTGCGTTTATTTAGTTTTGCGTGAAACGCGAACACACAAAGAGACATTACAAACAAACGAACATTTAGACAAAAAAACAACATTTTTAATAACTATTCTTTCGGGGTCTATATTCTATACACAATACGTTGTAGTCATTGGTTTTGAAAAATATTTATTATATGTATAGATGCATAGATTACTATATAAAAATACAAATTATGTGCGTGTTGTTACTCCTACACACTGCGACATAGATTTTGATTAAATTTCGTACGAGGTGATTGTTAGGAAAAAAGTATTAAGACTATTTTTGTAGATAATTTTATGATCTACAATTTTTTTATAAAACTTACTATTTTCGAGACAAATCTAAAAAAACCTTAATTTTGACATTTGACCTTGAATAACTTTTTTATGACACAGGGGATCGATGGGGACTTTTGGCACTTTATTTCTACTGGTGTACCCAAAGCCTCTACCAAAATTCAGCTCAGTCGGAGTTTTTTGTTATTTGATCACAATTTTTATGTCTAACTTGACCGAACTATGTCCTACAAATTCATTATAACACAAACTGCTCTAACACTCACTAGAGCGAGTGCGAAAGCTTAGTTTCTTCAATACATAAGATACTTATTAATATTAATTAGAATATTAAACAATAAGTATATAACAGTTTTTATTAACTTAATAAGATCATAAGTACTTAGAACTGCGCAATGGCAATTGTTATGTAACTAAACAATGGAATCAATCGAGTAATTAATGTTGAAATCATCACATTCTACGACTACTTAAAGGATATGAGTCTTACGAGTCTGTATCATAAAGAAACTTCCATAACTGAAGTATCTACTAAGATAAGAGTCCGTTCTAATAATGAAACTCGTAGTTCTGTTAGGTTTTGTCCTTCTAAGTACAGTATTGGCTGAACAGTATACTGATAGATTCGACGATATAGATGTGGAAGAGATCGTTTCAAATAAAAGATTATTGACATCGTATTTAAAATGTGTTTTGGACAAAGGCCGCTGCACTTCTGAAGGAAAGGAAGTTAAATGTAAGTACCATATAAGATCTGCCTCATTTAAGATATATTTTGAATACTAATAATAGTTTGTTATTTGTTGTCTAATAGTTTTCATAAGAAATTTTATACAAGAACAATCTGTAACTGTAATTATTTCATATTAAATACTTTATGAGGATTCATATGGATTGGTAGACATAAATACAGTACCATCCAAAAGTTTGGAAGCAATAAGGTAAAATCAAATAAAACAAAAGAAAGCCATCTAAATATTTTTGTATTGATATAAAATCAAAAATTCAATGAAAACTAACTTAAACAATATAAAAATTAAACATACAATATGAAAATTAAATTAAATTTTAGCTTCATCGAAGTATCTACCCTTTTCTTTTTATTATCTTGTTGCATATTCTAGGCATTCTATTAATTAAGTTTTTATAATAATTTTCATCGAACTTGTTCTATTTGCTCTCTAATCGTTCCCACAAATGTTCTGAGCTCGTAGGAGATCGATTTTTCACCCTTGTATCGAGTTTATCCCAAACAAGTTCAATAGGACAAAGATCAGGCGCATGAGACGGCCATTGTATGATTTTTAAAACCCTTTCACTATTTTTCTTGTTCAAATAGTTCTGGTATAGTTTATTCATTTTCTTATTGAAAATTCAGGACCAATGAGATTCAGTCCACTGGGCATAACAGAATCCTGAAGTAGTTTCAAATAGTCCTTCTTCTTTAGTTTTTCGGCTATCTTCACAAGATTTCCGGATTTACTGTGACCAAAACACCCCCAAATCATGACATTACCACCACCATGGTTGATAATAAGCAACATAACACACTTTTTTTGACTGGCGTACAAAAACACATCTATTGGGTTCCATAATCTGAACTTTGATTCGTCACTCCAAAGAAATTTTCCCATTGGTCTATTGCCCATTTATTATGCGCTTTTGCCCATTCTAGTCTATTTTTCTTATTTCGAATTGTTAGTTTTGGTTTTTAGAAGAAACACATCCTCTCAGTCCCACAGAGAGTAGACGTCATTTAACAGTTTCTTGAAATGGGTGTTCCTTGCGTATCAATCAGAGCTGCGGTAATTTGTGATACATTTAAGCGTCGATTCCGTTTAATAAGAACTCTAATGAACTTATCCTCTTGATTTGTAGTGAATTTGGACCTACCAGATCTTTTTCTGTCTTCATTTTTACCAGTTTCTTGTTTATTAGGAAGGGTGTAGTGTACACCTTTACAAGAAATTCCAAGCTTATCTGTGATTTGGCGTTCACTATATCCTTCCTTACGTAGAGTACGAATAGCGCTTCGCTATTTAAGAGTGATTTGCTACGTTTGGCCATTTTCAAAAAAAAATTACGGTCAAAGTACTACTCGAAATCTTTTGAATACAGACGATGATAATATCACAACTTTCGCGTGCCAATGCTCAAGTCCGACTAAATAAGTTCCAAAAAAGAGAAAACTACAAAATATTTTCAATAAAACCGCACCATTGCATAAAAAAAGCACCCGACGGATTAAGTAATAAAACACCTGTTTTGTCAAAATCAAGAAATTTGTTAAAACTTAATGAATGCGCAATGATAATCCTTTTGTTTTGTGTAAGCAATCGTAAAAGGTCGTAAAACTTGATTTTATTGCTAATTTTTACCGCACATAGTCGGCAATCTTTTATTTTGTTTAAAAACAGATGTGCTTCCAAAATAGATAAATTATTTGGCGTGGCTTTTAATTTTAAATTACAATAAATTAACCCATCTTTATCATTTAACCTTGCAAGTAACTCTGAATTACCCAAATATCTCTCTACGATTCAGTACAAAGTGCTGTATTTATTTTATAATAGCGGCTCACCCTCGCTTCGCTCGGAATCTCCTCTGCATAAACAAAAACTAATCTATCCCATGGGAACCGTACATTTTTCCGGGATAGAAAGTATGTGTTATTCTGATGTATGAGCTATATTATAGTAAAGTTTCATTAAAATCCATTCAGTAGATTTTGCGTGAAGGAGTAACAAACATCCATACATCTATACATCCATACGTCCTCACAAACTTTCGCATTTATAATATTAGTAGGATTTTATTAAATAAATCAAATTATGAAGTTCGTACGTTTTAACTAAAACTAGATGAATATTCAACGATGTTACTGAATATATCAGACATAATTGAGTGGCATTGAAATAAAATTATATTGTAACTATAATCTTTGACTAAAAATTATATTCTTCAAATTGCTCGACTTTATAGTACATACGGTATGTATTCATCTTTTATACAATTTAAAAACATACATATTTTTATTTAGCTACTATTATTTTTAACTGAATTTTAAACATTACAATTACAAAAAACTAAATAAAAATTAAAGATAAACAATTAGCGTCTCAAAAATATCTTCAAAAAGAAGTGCACCATTCGAAATTAAATTGCGTTTTTTTTAAACCTCTTTTGTTCATTGCTTTCCGGATGACAAAATTAAAACGCAGGTTGTTTCGTTCAAAAAGGTACTTTATGTAGTGCGTAAGTGTGTGTAAGTTCGAATTTTCGATTTTTTAACTTTATTCTTTGGTTTGACTGAACGTCCGTCACATGTCGACGCCACTTTTTGAAGAGATATTTGTTAGGAAAAGTCTTTGTTTTTATATATCAACTAGCACTGCCCGCTGCTCCGCCCGCGTTCAGATGACCAAAAACCAAATTCTTAGATTTTACATATTATAATATAGAGTACTCTACTTTGCAGTTATTGTATTTTTTCTCAGAAATGAGATATTTTACCGTGGTAAAAAGTATCCTATATGTTGACCCGGATAATCAGCTATCACCATACCAAATTTCATCAAAATCCCTCCAGTGGCTTTTCTGTGATGCGGTAACAGACAGACAGATAAAAATTCTACAAACTATAGATTCGGCCTGTGTATCGATAATAATGTTTATTTCAATAAGATTTTCCAAAAAAATTTTAATGTACAGATTAGGCTTAGCTACAATTTCATTATATGTATAGATGATTACTGATTTATTAGAAGAGAATTGCTTTTAATATAGTTAAGAGAATTATGCTTTATATACATTCACGAAATTAATTTCGACTTATTATAAGTCTATTTAGAATTGATATATGCTATACACTAAAAAAAATATATGCGGTTAGGGAACCCACGTCAGGAATGAGATTCGCGCTTTACAATTGATACTTTATATCAATTTACATTCGGAATTGAAGAAAGGGCGTGAGAAACTTCATCTCTGACGGGCGTCTCTTGGCCCTGCACCTCTTTTTTCATGTAGGTATGTTTTAAAATCTTCTTCTTTGGGAAAAGAATCAGGGATGTCTATTTCTCAATCACTTGTGTTCGGCGCAGTACATCTTCTGTACTGATGATAGGATTTAGCTAAAGTTTTACGACCGGCCACCTGCCTGACGTCAACCCTCCTTGGGAATCTATGTTTTAAAATAATATATTTAAATATCGAAAATGTCATTTTCAACCTATTTAATTAATTTTTAAAAGTTTTCAATTATTACACAACCATAAAAATCTGTTGTAACAAGCAAATGTTATTAAAAATTACATTTAAAAACTACTTTCCTCATCAATTTAGCCAAATTTTTATTGATAATTTTTTGTAACAGATTCCAAAAAAGAGAGTAACATCGAAATAGAGCTTGACTTGTTTTACTATTATACTACTATTTAAATATACAGGGTCATTTTTAATTTACTGAAAACCTTTTGGAAATATCCTGTTTACATCATAACAACAACATCTGTAAGAAAAAATAATAATATTTCTTAAATTTTACAAAAATAAAAGTATTTTTATTGCTCCTTCTAAACGGTAATAGTCCAGCAATTAGCAAAAGAAAGCGCGTGACCGGTGGAGGGGGAGGGGTGGAGGGGGAGGCTTGGAGGGGTGTAGGAAGTGGCCCTTACTCATTTAAACTTGGCCAGATGCTAGATCTTTACCGTTTAGAAGGTGCAATAAAAATATTTTTATTTTTGTATGAAAATAAAAATTTAAGAAATATAATTTTTCTTGTTACAGATGTTGTTGTTATGATGTAAATATTATATTCCCAAAAGGTTTTCAGTAAATTAAAAATGACCCTGTATCCATAGTAGTGTATGTATTTTATATGTTTGTAAATTATTTTACAAATATATAAAATACATACATATCATATATTTATATACATCCATACTAATATTAATATTATTGCTTGTTTATTTTTCTTTCACGTCGAAACGGCTTGGCGGATTGGCATGATTTTTTGTGTGGGGATAGTTGGAGGGCTGGAGAGTGACTTAGGCTATTTTTTACCGCGGGAAATTATCTAATTCCCACAGGAAAAGACGTTATAATACAATCCAAAAAATATTTATGATCAGAATTACTTGAAAATTAGTATAAATTCTCTTCAATACAATTAATTAAATACGTGTTTTAGCATTTTCCGAAATTCATCACTTAAGGGGGTAAAATAGCGGATGAAAGTTTGTATGAAACCTACCATTTTAGAGGTTTTTTTGTAGTTTTAGCGTGAGCGAAGCCGCGGGTTCTGCTAGTATATATTATATATTCACGTATTAATTAATATTAATTCATATTAAATTACCCATCCACCCTATTTTATTTCTACATTCTCATTCATCCTATAAATCGCTAATTACCAATAAGACTATCTTTAGTGTTTCCCAATTTTTTTTTGTTTATTATCTTATTGTCATATATTATTAATAGTCATAGTTAAGTGAAATAAAATACTTATAATATAGGTATTTAATACTATTTCCCGCATACATGTAGATCTCTTTTATAGATAAGTCCGCTTTTGATCACGTCATCATTATTTTTAGCAAAAAGTGTAAAGAGGATATAAATTGGACTTCGGACTACTATTATATATGCGAAAGTTTGTATGTATGTCTGTATATGTTTGTTTCTCCGTGCTTAAATCACTGAATGGATGTGAATAAAATTTAGTACACAGACTATGACATGAAGTAGAGCATAGGCTGCGGTTAGGCACCTAGGGATGCACCGGCGTGAAGCAAGACTAGGTCGATAATAGTAATAAATTCATCATTTTATTCATTTCTCAAAATATAATTATATACATTTCGTTGTAGTGCATTTAAAAGATGCGATGGTGACCGGCTGCTCCAAATGTACACCTACACAGAGGAAAAAGGCCAGAACAGTCGTCAGTCACGTCCGAGAACATGAGAAGGACTACTGGGAAGAGATGAAAAAGAAATATGATCCTAACAACAGTTACAAGGAAACATACGAAGCTTTCCTTGCTCGTGACGATTAATTTAATGTTATAAATAAAAGTTTATAAGTTAATAAAAAAATATTAAAAAATCGTTTTATGAGGGTGCTATGTAAGAAAATATATATTTTATAATATTTATCAACATTTGGTCTTTTTTAATACCATTTGAAACCTTTAGTGCCAATACAAATCATAATATTTATATATTATACAATCCCTTCGGACAGAATAAAAAGTTCTACTTACTATTAGATTGGCTCCTTATGTTTTTTTTTTCATCCCAATTAGAAATTCTTCTTATTGCCATCCCTACATATAATAATAATTATGGCTACATTAATCTTATTTAACCGAATTCTAATTTGTATGGAGCCTTAAACTTCGAGAAAATCCCCATGACGTATAGACGAACCCCGGGTGAAATAATATTATAAAAGTTGACATTTTGCCTTTTAGCTGCCAAATCCTAAAAATTAAATAATTAATTGGATATTGTTGTTTAATTTTTTATAACGTGTGATTAATTTTCTTGAATACAATAATCTTTTGTATTTATGGCGTGCCTCTTCTTTAGTTTTTGTGAATATTTTTCAGGATAAAAACTTAGTTTTTGTGAACTTAGAAAAAAAAATAATACTTAAGCATATTAATGTAGATTTAATTAAATTTAAAGGTGTTATTACAACACAAATAATTTTAAAAGTCGTGGTAACTACTGATTTACAAACAAATTTATTAATAAATCATCGGAAGAGTAAATAAAAAATAGAGTAATTAGTGCTAATAGTGATTATTTTATTTATCCATATCCATACCAATATTATAAATGTGAAAGTGTGTTTGTTTGTTTGTCTTTCTATCACGTCGAAATAGAGTGACGGATTGGCGTGATTTTTATGTTGAGATAGTTGGAGGGCTGGAGAGTGACTTTTTAGTGCGGGAGATCATCTAATTCCCCCGGGAAAACACGTTATAATATAAACCAAAACAATATTCACGATCAGAATTACTTGAAACTTGATAGTAATGTCTTCAATATAATTAAATAAATACATGTTTTAACATTTTTCAAAATTCATCCCATAAGGGAGTAAAATAGTGGATGAAAGTTTGTATGAAACCTACCTTTTTAGAGACTACAGAGTGATAGCGCGACCGAATCCGCGGGTTCTGCTAGTGTAAAATATATCTCAAAAACTTTAAACAATGTAAATAGTTTTTGTTTTAATTATTACTTTTAACTTTGTATTAATTAATACTTTTAACAAATAATTTAATTTTATTGCACTTTATAATAACAACATACAGACGTTTCATATTAAGTAATAAAAAATAATTAATGTGATGTGATGTTCTCCTGACCGATTCCGGCCACGGCGGCCAATCTCATTGAGACTAGCCAACTACGCAGGAGATATTATAGTGCACAAGTGTACGCGCAGACACAAGTGCACTCTCTTTACCTATCACTCTCATACTCCGGTGGGACGACCACTCGACACGGCCGGTGAGAGTTAAGGCGCAGGACCGACGGCTTTACGTGCTCTCCGAGGCACGGGGGTGAAACACCGCCAACTTCCCAACTCCAGGCTGTTACTGAAGATTAATATACAGAAAGACTCAATGACTAAACTTGGCCCGACCCGGGACTCGAACCCAGGACCTCCAGGTATGCAGCCGTACATCCTAGCCACTACACCACCGAGGCAGTTAATAATAAATTTTACAAATACTCTTAAATAATATTATTGTTCTATGAACAATACAATTTAATTTGACATAGTAGCTGCGGCCACTATTATAGGCAAGGAATTGGAGGGCGTATCCAATTAACCATTGTTTCAATTTTCCATATCATTGCATTGGGATCTACCTATATCATAATGTGAACTATAATGTATTACCGACGGTTATACCGCATCTTATAATGTCCAAACTAAAAACACTCACCATAGAAATAATTTAACCACTATAATTTTACAAATTAAGATAGCAGATAAGTCGGAAACGTGCGTTTTATATTATGCCTAGTACCTGGGCGACCAAGCTTCGCTCGGAGTTCTTTTTTGTTATATCGTATTTTTAGATTTAAAAAAAAACTAAAAATTTGAATATATACAAAGAAAACAAAAGTAAACACTTTTTATCCGACCGGGATACGAACTCAGACACCTGTGCTTGTCAAACTTGTGCCTTGGTCACTTGACCACGATACTTATATCCTAGCGTGCGAGTTAGCGACCATATTTTGCGTGGAATAATGCGAAAAAAAAACCGCATGAAAACTCGAAAACACGCATTTTCTCAGACATAAAACTAATCTAGATCGATTTATCGCCCCCGAAACCGCCTGTAAACTAAATTTCATGAAAATCGTTGAAGCCGTTTCCGAGATTCAGATTATATATATACAAGAATTGCTCGTTTAAATATATTAGATATTGTAAAGAATAAAATATACCTATTTGACAAAAATTACCATACGACCTATCGCTTAGTGTCTAATGATAAAACACGTTAAATAGAGACCATACTTATGCTTTATGACTGTATAGACAGTAATTAGTGGCATTAAGCCTTAAATTGGTCAAAGACTTACGTAGATCCGCGGGTATTACCACAACATATTATACGTACTTAATAAGCATTACGTAGATGAGAGGGTAGGCAGATTGCTACGCTCTGCGATTTTGCATTGTTTTGCATAATGTATACTGGACTTTAGACGTCATACGTTTAAGAGGCAAGTATCTAATAATGACGAGTGTTTCTCTTCTACACATATAATAAAATTCTGAGTAGAATCTGTACATTAAATACTTTTTGGATTTTTTTTTTGAAAACAGACGATACATTATACATTTATTTATAGTATGTATTTAAAGTTATATATGTGTAGTGTATGAACTATCTGGTATCCATGACACAAGCCTCGTAGCTTACCATGGAACTAGATAGTAATGTGTGTTGATGTCTCAACATATTTATTTATTTATTGTATTTATACCAAAAGCTGAGATACAAAAAAAAGATGACGCTGTAAGTTTGGTGGGATTATAATATTTTGAACTTTTACCAAGAAACCCAATGATTAATTCAAACGTGTTCTGTGTATGTACAACTCGTCGAACTGAGCTGAGCTGAGGTGTTGTCTACCAGCAAATCCAAAGCCCCACATACTTTGGTCACAAAAATTATTGGACCTAGATTGTTGTCACATCCACCATATACAACCTTCCACCAGATTACAATTTATTTCGTTCCATGCAGAACTCCCTAAGTGGTAAAATTTTTAATATCCCTGATGATGTAAAATCAAATTTAATTCAATTTTTTGCTGCCAAAAATCAGAAAATTTTTAACATGGAATTATGATACTGCCTGAAATATCAAGGCTAAAGATATATTTTTAAGCAAAAATTTTTAATTTTCCTTCTTATTTAAAATACGCAATCAGTTGCTAACCTTAATATTTCTGTATGACGCTCGATGACTCAACAACGTGCGTCAGTACAAATTGCTCGATTATTCTCTAAGGCTTCTTGAGTATAGGCTGGAAAATTATCAATTTAAATTACTTTGTTACGATTTCATTAACATTGTATATTATAAAGATACTAAGGAAATATTGTATGGTAAAAAATAAGATCAAGATTTCATTTGATTTTTGTAAATTAAGTGTAATTTTAAACTTATTTTTTGTAAATAATTAACCATGAAAAAGCCATTATTCGTCCTATAATTGGATGAATAAAATATTAAGATCTGAGTCTACTTATTGAGTAGTTTATCGAGATCGAATAGACTTAAATTAAACATCCTTATAGCCCGATAGGTTAGAATCATTGCCTTGTTGCTATAACAAGTTGCTTATGATGTGGCTATGGAAGAGTGAGATTGCCTGTTACAGGTGTTTTTTTACATTTAAAAGGCGATTTGAACCTTGTTTGTAATTTTTAAACATTTTGTTAATGAATAAAATATTTTTTTTATTTTTATTGTTAGTTGTTTTATTATGACGTATAAATATTCTTCTAAATTTTAGCTCGGTAGTTTTTAGTTAAGGCGTTTTGCTTTTTTTTACACATACAAACTTTTAGACATAGATATAAGACATATAATAAAACATAGATATCTTTAGAACTCGAAAGATAAAGTAGAATAAAGTCTTTTTTTTCTGTTACATATAGGAACTCCTGAACATAAATTTAAATAAAGGAAAATAAAACTCAATTATTTTCCTTTATCTATACTAACATTATAAAGAGGCAAAGTTTGTGAGTTTACGAGTTTGTAGTGGGTAATCTCTGGATCTACTGATAGTAGCTACTTTGGTACCTTGGGAAGGACATTGGATACTTTTAATCCTGAAAATCATTCCTTAAGGTGGTGAAAATGTGGATGAAAGTTTATATGAGGAATCAAGCTAGGGACGTATCCGAGCGAAGCGAGGGTGATTCTCTAGTTAGAATATAAAAATAGTGGCAGATATTAATGACAAACCGACAATAATCGACCGACCAATATTATCAGACGAATATATCTTAATTATCCGATTAATGGATGACTAGCAATAGACTTGTTAATTATTTTAATACTTAATTGCACATAGTGAATGATAGATTTAAAACTCAAACGACAATTATCGTCCCATGGAAATGAACGGGGTAGAAAGTATCCTATTCATATTATGTTAATCCATTCTATATCCCTGTATGTATACAATTCTGTTGTAATTGCATAAAAAAGGATATGTACCAAATTTTAAATATTCAACGGCTTACGCATGAATTACAAGGATTCAATCGTGACGTATAAAAATATCTCACGGGAACCAAATGACGTTCGTGGTAAAAAGTACTGCACGGAACTCTATTTCTCATAAACCAAAGAAAAAAATTACAAACACACTTTCGCATATATAATATCAGTAAAAATCACTAAGTTGAATTACAATAATAATTTTTAATTCTTCTCAAAAGTCGTAATAATCATTGTAAGACTGGTTACATATTTAAAAATATTCATTTTTCAAACCGGTTTAGCTTTACGCAACTTGAATATTAAATATTTTTGGTGTCTATAGACTCAGGTGTACAGCGAATAAAATGATTAAAGGGGCACGCACCATTCTTTACATGCACGGGTAGCAGGTCTACTATTACGAGTATATATATATATATATATATATACTCGTATATATATATATATATATGTAAACTGTATTATATATTCTACGACGCTCGGATGCGTCTCTATGTTTTATATAGATAAAAGTATTTCTTGTGAGCATACGTTAGCAGATAGACTCATGCCAACGCGGGACTTTTCATAGGTCTTTTTAAGAGCTACAATTTTCTAATACATTGTTCTGATGTGTGTCTAAAGGTTAGCAATATTATCGTACGAAAGAAGTTTTTTTTCCATCCATCCTCTAACCATCCTCGTTTATCGCTCTTTCTATTAATAAAAACATTATAAAAATCCGTAGCGTGGTTTAGAAGAAATAAGCGTAGAAACACACTTAAGCAGCAGCGACTTTGTCTTATACTTAATTATACAAATTGAGGAAAATTTACATTTTACTTCCGGCGAGCATTAGCCTTGACCAAGCAGCACTTTAAATAAGGAAGTTGAATTTTAAATTACTCTAAAATTTCCTCAATTGCGATGTCGATCCTTCATATTTGTAACTGTAGTACGTACTCTATGTAACATACCGAAAATAGATATAGAAAACATTATATCTATATAATTGGGATCATAATTCTTTTAATTTTCTTGTTTCTTAAAAGCATTTTATTTAATAAATAAAAAAAATAAATAATCTAACTTTAAACGGCTCTATTATTTCATGAGATATCAAATATCAATTAACATATTTATTTGAAATTAATTTACATAAATCACCAATTAAATATTGCCTGGTCGGTTTTTTTTTTACTGATAGGTGAACAATGATAGACGAACAAAGTTTTTGTATTATATAGATACTGCACGTTTATTCCGCCTTGATTGAATAAGTATAAACAAGTTTTAAAAAGCCTTTTGATAAAATATAGGTGCAATGTCACTGACGCAAATGCATATTTATAGTTTTTATTTTTACATTCAACTCCAGTTGTAATCTTTAGTCCAAATCCGAAATAATTTCATTTTTTAATGCTAAAGAATATTTATGTAAATATAAAATTTTACATATTATACATACATATATGTATATATAAAATTCTCTAGATCACACTTTGGAAATGATATAATCACCTCCAAGCTATTTCAACGTTAAGTACTACAATTTGTATTTTGTTTTTAATTGTAATTTATATTTTAAAAAAATAGTTCAAAAAAACTGAGTTCCTTGCGGTACTTGTTCTCAGGAGGAATTTAGTTCTAAACATTTCAAACTAGTAGATTTTTGACAAGCAATGTGTTTCTGATATACCAATGTTGCGTAAAGAATTAGAATTTTAGGAAATACAAATTAATTTACCACTTTAAAAAAATCATTTTATTAATGTGAAACAAATAGGTACCTATAATCAGTTACGCGTATATCTAGATAATTTAAGCACTAACTGTCTTGAGGTCCTTTTCGTATTTTACAGAATATTTGTGTTGGGGGTCGTACTTGGCGGTGAGTTTCTCCCAGTATTCATTTTCGTTGTTGATAAGATGACCAATTACCTTCTTGGTTCCAGACTTTTGGGCGTTAGTGCATTTTGCGCAATTGTTCTCGAGAGCTTCCTGGATGTGTGCTGGAAAGCGAAGAAGATTTTTTAAATTAATTTTGTACCACAATAATAAAATCTTTTTTACATAAAACATTTAACATGTAACAAAAACTGATAGCTATACTAAAACATCTTCTATATAAATAAAAATAGATGTTGCTAAGCGTAAAACTCGAGAACGGCTCGACCAATTCAGCTATTTTTTTCGTATGTTCCCGGAAAGCTTTAATAAAGAGAAAAAATACAAAATAAGATAAATATAAATATAGTATATATAAAACAAAGTCGTGTTAGTTACACCATTTATAACTCAAGAACAGCTGGAACAATTTTAAAGATACTTGACTTTTTGGATTTCTCTTAGTCCGGAATAAGATAATAAGTATTAAAACATTAGAAACATTAACGAAAACAAAAATTTATATGGCTAACGCTATTTATATCTATTTAAAACGTACCTAGGGACGAACCAGAGCGAAGCGCGGTTGAGCCGCTAGTATAAAATATAAATAATTATATTTTTATTACATCTACCTATTTTCTTACAGAATATACTCGTATGGTAACTTTTCTATGTTGTAGATTTTTTAGTTTTAGAATATAATAAAATATGTATGACTTCTCATAATAGTAATTATTTACAATGACATGCTAACATATTACAAGTGATTTGTAGAATAATGTTGTCATATTTAGATACTCTATTCACTCATTAGCATATTACATGTACACATTTTCACACATGTACGTCATTTCCATGAAATCAGACAATGAAATTGTCAATCCTGCTTTTTAAACTAATATTTATAGGTAGAACAAAAAGTTCAAAGAAACATATTATTATATATAATATTTTGAATTTAAAAGGATTACGAAAATATTTTTTTACTTTTCTCTAAGAAACGCTACGTCCTCTATACACATAGTACAAAGAAGGAAAATGTGTAAAGAAATCAACAAAAAAAAACACTAAAAAGACTCTGGAATGGAAATGGAAAATTAAATGGAAAATCTCATTATTATTACTTACGAGTATGTATGTTGGTCTGTATGTGTAATAAGCTCCCTGATAACTACTAAATCTTTCTAAAAAAATGAAAATAAATGATTTCACTAATTGGCTGTCATCCTTAACAATCATAATTATGTATTCAATTAAACTAATCAAAATATATATTACCTAAAGTACGCCTAATCTGATTGTAAGCGTTTTGTACTTTACTGAGCTGGGTTGCTTGGTTTTCAAAGCTAATGGTTATTATTTATAGAAATCTAAAAGTATATGACAATAATATCAACATTATGCACCCGTCACAAATCTTACAACTCGTCTCATCCCCTCCGTTGAACATAACGAATTCGCGCAAAGAACCAGTATTGCTATTAAACGGAATAGGAAATCCCGGAAAACGGAAATGCAGCTACACTTGGACGAGGGCATGTCTTGTATAGTTTTTATATTATACGTTATATTCATATTTGTTTTGTATATACAATTAATTTGTAATTTGATAGTAACTTATCGATCTATTCATAAAGTTCTATTTGAAGACCCTTACAAAATTCATAACAATTTTCATTTAATCCAGAGCAACAGTAAAATGCCTTTCAAGCCTCAGCGTGCATTTAGAGTTTAAACAAAGTGAAAAGACTAGTAAAATAAAACGATTACTTACATTTTAGTTCCTTGCCTTCAGCTGAGCATTTGCCTTCTTCCAACATGCACTTGATGTATGGATGCAACAGACGTTTGTTACTTAGAATCTCATCCAAGTCGATGTTATCATACTTATCCGTGTAAGTAGAGTCAGGTCGAGCGAAAGTCACTGCGACGAGAGCAAAGAGGCACAGTATGGTCTTCATGTTTTTTAATTATTATACCTGTAAATATTACGATATTTTATTAAAATATATCATATAGGCTGAACATCGTTAAAATCATGGATGAATTTCAAATGACGAGTTATTCTCGTAAACTGTTAATGACCTATGTATATTTTTCCACTAGAAAATTAATTAAAGGAAATTAATCTAATTGTAGTCAAAGGTTTTCTAAATAAATCAAATTGTTGTTTTTTCATTAAATTCAACAATTATCGTGTCAACTAACAAATTAACTTAGAGTAAGTTGCGTTAGTTGTATAAGGAGTTCCCCCCCAACGTGCGTTCACCTTGTCGTGGTGGGGGGGCTCAGTAGTGCCCGGCAACCCAACCGGGCGCGAAGCCAAGAAACGCACAGGGAGGAGGCCCACTTCGGTGGGCGGTAGGAGGTGGCCCTCTTCGGAGGGCAGTGTACCATGCGGGTTGCTCCTGGTACTTCTCTGATAGCAGAGTGGACTGTGGAGCAACCCCGTGGTTGTTGTGGTCTGCTTCGGCAGACCTGCCGTCGGGGCGTCGTAGTTGAATGCGTAAGCGATCCTGCGACGCCCCATTAAGACGGGGGAAGGTTTTGTTGGGTTTTAGTGGGTAGTACTGGTTTTGCCGGTGAGTCCCACACCTCGTGCGTAAATGCATTTCCCAACGTTAAAAAAAAAAGTTGTATAAGGAGTTGGCCCACTTCGGTGGGCGGTGTACCATACGGGTTGCTCCTAGTACTTCTCTAACAGCAGCGTGGACTGTGGAGCAACCCCATGGTTGCTGTGGTCTGCTTCGGCAGACCTGCCATCGTAGTACTGGCTTTTCTAGCTGGTGAATCCCACATAACCTGTATGTCTACAGGTGGTGGTGGTTGTATAAGGTAAAGAAAGTAAGCTTACAATTATGTTTGCCAATCTCTCTTCCTAAACGGTTTCTTATTATGTAGAATATCTTAATTTAGTTACATTTGAAACGTTAATAAACTATAATTCAAAGAAATATATTAAATTGTTTCGAGATGAAGTTTTATAGATTTTTTTATTATAATACTGTCAATTGTAAGCACAAAAAAATTGAATTGAATTTAACAATCGTAAACCAGTATTTATAAAAGATGATTATTATTTAATTAATTGTTGTACAAAATATTGGCAAAGGGGTATATAGAAGCGATTTGTTAGATACGTGTTTTCAATATTGAGGAATAAAAAAATAAAAAAGTAAGCACATCTCACTCTCATGGACTCTACGAAATACGCGATATAAAGGTAATGCAAAATGAAAGGACGAGTAAAGTACATTTTGAACTAATCTAAAATTAAGATTTGCTTTAAAATATAATATACAAATAAATATATATATATATATATATATATACCTAGCTTTTGTACCTGTTATTGTCACCGTAAGCACTGATTTCCAGATAGTAACTGAGAACTAGTTATTGCAATAAGCCTTTTATACACGTTTAAAAGGACGAATATAAACATATTTAGTATTCACTGAACAATACCTATTTTATTATTTTTCCCTATGACGTTTCATACGACACTAGATAGATACGTAACAAAATGCCAAGGCTTCGACCTCTTGTAATAATTATCTGAGTTATCTTTAATAATAAGATGCATTACTTTAAATCATTAGAATCGATGTGTCGAACAAAATGAGATTGTAAAATTTTATATTTCTTTAATGAATATATCGCCATAATGTAATATAATGTAAAACTAAAATACCTATAAAGTTTATAAAATACTAGCCATTCACCCTCGCTTCGCTTGGGTAGGTCCCTAAATGCCTATCCTATGTGCTACTCTATGTTAGTCTATATCCCTCCCGATGAGTGTTAACGGCGTGAAGCCTAGAAATGCACTCGGAAGGCGGTCCACCTCGGTGAGCGGTGTACCTGGTGTTTCTGGGACTTCACTTTTATAACAGAGTGGACCGTGGGATCACCCCCATGGTTGTTGTAGTCTGCCTCAGCTAACCATCCGTCAGGGCTTCGTGGTAGTGGATAGTAATGTTTTTACTGGTTAGTGAGCCCAACATAGCCATACCCACTGTATAATCCCGCTCTTTCTCTCGTTAACTCTTTCTCTCTTTATCTCTTTTTGCTTTCGTGTTTATTTATTGCTTCTAAGGTTTTGTAAAGTGATGCTAGTTAGCCTATAACCTTCCTCAATGTATAAAGGCTAAAACCCCAAAACATTTTTTATTATCGGACAACACTACTACATACCACCAGTCAAGTGCCACACCCTTCTGCAAGATGCAGGAGTGGACAAGCTATGATTGTAATTGTGGACTCTCCTACACCGGGCAAACAAAGAGATCCATTAGAACTCGGGCCAAAAAATACATAGCTGATGTGAAGCACCTTCGGAATACAACGCCTACTGTCTGTAAACATAGTCAGGATCGCCCAAGCAATAGCAAACTAAATTAAAATAATTGTTTTTAATAAAAAAAAATTTAATTACATAATATAGAAATAATATTTTATTTTCTTTATGTATACCTCTATATATAGGTACATATAATAAGAGCAACACCGAATAATAATAATAATTTAAAAAAATTGTAACTTTCTTCAGATAATGAATCCCAGAACTGATTCAGCACTTGGTTCACGCCCGTGCTGGATCATATTACCAGGCACAGTCTGAGATATCAAATTTGATATAAAAAATAATAATTAAGCCACATTTATTTCATATCTTAAAAGTTACATTCAAAAGTTGTTAGCTGTTGTTAGTATGTTTGCTAAATCTAGGTTGTTAGTATGATTATTCTTTTTTATTTGTTCCGAGATATGGATCCCTGTTTGGTGAAGGCCTCCTCCAACTCCTTCCACGCTTTTTTATCTTTGCCAATCTTCATCCATTGTTCTCCTGCCACTTTTTTTATCTCAGCAGTCCACCGTTTTATAGGTCTTCCTACCTTTCTTTTCCCCGCCGTTGGTCCCTTCCATCGTGTAGATTCAATAGTCCACCTTTTATCAGAGTATCGTGAAATGTGACCAGCCCAACTCCACTTTAATGTCAGTGCATGTGTAAGTGCATCGGTAATCTTAGTTTTCTGTCTGATTATGTCGCTTCTTATTTTCTGTACTTTCCTTATCCTTAAAATATTTCTTTCCATTGCTATTTGATTGCTCCTCATCTTGTGTTTAACTTTTTCTGTAAAGGTCCAATTTTGGCAGCTGTATAATAGACTTGGTAGCACACATGTGTCCATTACGACTTTCTTCATAAGTAAACTGTAGTTACCTTTTTAAAAAAAAGGGCAACACCGAATAAGATTACTAATTAATAAAGTTTTCTTAAAAAATTGTAATATTTATAATAATAACAGCCAAAATTAAATAAATAATATTCCCATGTTCAATTACAAAATTTATTAAAAGTATAGAAAATGTTTAAATTATAATTAACAAATATTGTAAGGTACCTTCTTTAGTGCCATTTTTATATTTTTGAGGAATTTTAGGAGTAATACAAATACATAATTTTATATTTCCTTTCCATAAATTACGGATTTCTCCACCTTTCCTTCTTCAACATTTTACTACTACTAGCTTTAAAATAAAAAAAAAGCTAGAATCTATACATATATTAAAATAGTACCTTAGTGAAATCTGTACATGAAATATTTTGTTAAAATAATAACTGTAATTTACACAGTAGCGTACATAATACAGACCTCAAAACAATAGTTATTAAAAATGTTGTCTGTATGTCTGTTTGGGTGTGCGCGTTTCACGTAAAAAGTACTGAACCGATTTTAATTGAATTTTGTGAAGTAATAACTTATTACTCTAGTCAACATTTATGATACCTTGTACTGTAGAAAAATCTTTAATTTCCACAGGAAAACACAAAAGTAGTTCTATCGAGTCCTCTTTAGGAAGCTAACGCTGGCTAAACCTTAAGAGATACACATAAAAGTGTGTAATAGAATATGTCTAAATCCTAAGGTACACTCGCAATATCTACCTTTATCTATTCAAAATGTAGCCAGGGACAAACCGCAGCGAAGCGACGGTAAGTTGTTAGTCTATACATATAACAAAATTGCAACTAAGCCGGGATTTGTACAATATAATATATTTTTTGGAAAATCTTATTGAAATAGACATTGTTATCGATGCAGAGGCCGAATCTATAGTTTTTAGAATTTTTGTCTGTCTGTTACCGCATCACGGAAAAACCACTTTAGGGATTTTGATGAAATTTGGTATGATGATAGCTGGTTATCCGGGTCAACATATAGGATACTTTTTACAGGGGGAAAATATCTCATTTCTGAGAAAAAATACAAAAACTGCAATGTAAGAGTACATATATTAATATGTTAAATCTAAGAATTTGGTTTTTGGTCATCTGAACGGGGGCGGCGCCGCGGGCAATGCTAGTTATTAATAAAACAAAAGTTAAGTAGAGAATATTTGTATTTATGCAAAAAACATTTCTTCGAAATAATATATTTATCATGCTACTATGCTATAACGTTTTAAGAATCAATAATAATTTACACTGACAACAAATACTCGTAAACAAGTTAAGTCAGGATTATATTGTATCAATTTTTCCATTACCTTTTCCGAGAATGTATTTAATGCGGCGCTCCTGACGTAGGCTTCACAAATTATTTCATTAATGGAAGCCAAGTATCTATACTAATATTATAAAGAGGAAAATTTTGTGAGTTTGTGTTTGTAGGTGGTAATCTCTGGATCTACTAAACCGATTTAGACCCTGGGATACTTTTTATCCTGAAAATTATCCATTAAGGGGGTAAAAATGGGGATGAAAGTTTGTATGGAGAATCGACCTATCATAGTAAAATTAGATCCTGTTTTATTGTACCTAATACAACACAATAGTGATCTATTACTTAACTAGCAGAATCCGCGGCTTCGCTCGCGCTAAAACTACAAAAAACGTCTAAAAAGTGGATTTTATAAAAACTTTCATCCCCTATTCTACTCTCTTAGGGGTTGAATTTTAGAAAACGCTGATATACGTAATTCATTATTTTTGCCGTACTCAATTCATGCGAAATTTCTTGCAAATATGTCCAAGGAATAAAAAGTTTCATACAAACTTTTATCCCCTATTTCACCCCCCATAGGGATTGAATTTTGAAAAATCATTCCTTAATAGATGCCTTCGTTATATGAGGAATACGTGTGCGAAATTTCAATTTTCTAGCCTTAAGGGTTTGGCCTGTGCGTTGATACATCAGTCAATCACTTTTGCCTTTTATAATTTATACTAGTAATTTATATATAGATTGTTTGATTTCATACAATATTTTATTTTTATTTTCTCTATTCTCGCACTATTTATTAGCACAATAAATCAGCCTTAATATTCCAAATTGATATTGTTTTTCTTAGCTCAGATAATAAATTACTAACAGTGCCAACGTTTCATATTGAATGATTTTTTTTAATAAATTATACTATTAGTGAAAAATTTTGAATGAAATAGAAGCAAAAGTTACATTTGAGAAATTTTTATATATGTAACATTCGGATTTCATAACCTAATATGGATTTTTCTATGAACAAATTAGCTTGGAATCGGCGAGCTTGCAGTGATACACTCCTGTATCTAGGAGACCACATAAAGACGACGTTCCTGCGCCTGGTCTCTCGAGCATCTCGCCGGTCGTGTCGAACTGTCAGGCAGTGGTGAAGGAAAGGGTATTTCTCCGAGATTGCGTTCTTAATATATATTATTTGGCATGTCTTTAATCATAAGAGTATGTTGAATAGAGCCAAAAATGAAAATAATTTTTGGCCAGATTAATCAGATGAAGAACGCAATCTCGGAGAAATACCCGAAAACATAATGAGGAAACCTGCACGTCTTAGAGAACCTACTAATAGCAAGTTTTCGAACGACATGTGAAGCCTGCCAACCCGCACTTAGCCAGCATGATGGACTGAGGCCTAATGCCTTTTGCATTGAAGGGAGGCTCGGGTTAAGAATGGCTGAATATGTTTTAGAACTTTTAATATTAAATTGAGTTGATTCTGCCTTTTCAAAATGCCACAACATATTCACAATATTTACAATTTTTAAAGCATATAACTATGCAAGTATTGGCTTAAACAAATATTATGTATTTACTTAGACACATCTATATGGGAAATACCCAACATTTATTTACATTTATGTGCACTTAAATTATTAAATATATGGAGTATAGCCTCTCGCAATACAGAAATTGAATGTAATTTGGAAATATCTTAGTTATATTATATCTAAGGTACAGAAAATGGAAGCTTCTAGCTTTATCCACAACGAAGACACGGGGTGGTGGGAAATGCCCTGAATTCCTTCTAGAAAAGGATAATACTGCCGTGCCCTGTTTTGCTCGACTTGTCGAGGATACTGCCGTACCCCAGATAATAATATTTATATTATTTTCATGCATACTCAGGCATTTTAGGATTCGATTTCATCCACTAAACAATATATAAATATGGTGGTTGACGTAATACTATATTATTCCGAGATTAGTTATTTTTATAACGATATACATATATTATATAACCATGTTGTTATTATAATTAATGAAAGACCAATCGTATTTTTTTAATTATTATATAGTTATTCATTAAATAACTATAAAATATAGGTACTTAGAGTCACATCATAATTCTTAGTCTGTAATAATATTATTATTTATTGAAAATGTGAAACTCACCCTAAAGAATTACATAGACGGTTCGCCAAAATAATTTCAAATTAAAAAATAGTGGCCTGATTATTCTGTTTTGAAGCCATTAACAAGTAATATTTTACCATAAAAATTCAAAGTCGGTGCCAGTCACAGAAATCTTAATAATAAGTATTAAGATTTCTGTGGTGCCAGTCGATGCAAAGCAAATCTAATATATTTCGATAGGTAAAATACATATTTACCCATCAGATATTCATATCTTAAAATATTGTAGGCTGGCACCAACTTCGAAAATATCTGATTAGGTATCTATTCTAAATAAAAATCTCCGTTTAATTATTTTTTACATTTTAGTGCCTGGAAGTGGTTTTTTTTTAGTTTTTATTTTTCCATTTTTAGTAGTAGGTAGTCGTAATAAGCAGGTATTTTGTAAGAAGAAAGTTTTTTAATAACATATTCGATTAATTAATTTATTTAAAAAATATATTTCTCGTAGATTTTTTTAAAAACCTGAAAAGTATACCCTTTGAAAAAAAAAACAAATCGGTTCAGGCGTCTTCGAGTAATCGGTAATATACATAAAAAACAAGATTCCGACGAATTGAGAACCTCCTCTTTTTTGGAAGTCGGTTAAAAATCTCTTATTAAACAAAAAAAATATATATATATTTAAACGTTGATTAAAAGTACGCAAAAATTATGATATCACTTACTTTATACTTACTTCTACTTACTTTACAATTACTGCAATAGAGTATCCCGCTATGGCCGCTATCCCTCTGAAACTCTTTATTTTGTACTATCCTATTAGTAACTGCTTCAAAGGAAAAGGATAAAATTTGCGAGTTTTTTTCTTTGACACGCTTTTTATCATTAAAATATTTTGTGATTTTAACAGTTCAATTCTGAATAAGCATATCTATACATATAATAAAATTGTAACTAAGCCGAATCTGTACATTAAATATTTTTTGGAAAATCTTATTGAAATAGACATTATTATCAATACAGAGGCCGAATCTATAGTTTTTGGAATTTTTGTCTGTCCGTCTGTCTGTCTGTCTGTTACCGCATCACGGAAAAACCACTGGAGGGATTTTGATGAAATTTGGTATGATGGTAGTTGGATATCCGGGTCAACATATAGGATACTTTTTACGCGGGAAAATATCTCATTTCTGAGAAAAAATACAAAAACTGCAATATAAGAGTATATTAATAAGTAAAATCTAAGAATTTGCTTCTTGGCCATCTGAATGCGGGCGTAGCCGCGGGCAATGCTAGTTATATTATAAAACATTTTCGAAAGGATAGGTTTACGTACAATAATAACTGTATAGAATTCCATATAAGCATTAAAAATGAATGTAAACTCAGGGTTATCATTTTTTTAAGGTTAAAATAACCTAAATATGAGACTCGAACAACACAAAAATAAATAAAAAACATGAGTAAAAAATCAAGTAATTTATTTTTAACTTATTTTTACTCAACTAGATTTTGTTTGTCTAATGTAATAAATTAAGTCAGTTTTCTTTAAATTACATGTTAAACATTCGGTGACATAGTGATAAAAATATGTTAATATAAATATGTATACTTGACCAAACTTGAGCATGTTTAATGTTATATAAATATACTGGTTGAAGCTGTTAAGTGACCCGCTTAGATTGTGATTTGGAAATATTCTTATAACATTATATTTCTTCTAAGCTTTAATAGTTCTAAGTTCTTTCTCATATTTAACAACATATTTGTGATCTGGGTCGTATTTGGCGACGAGCTGGTTCCAGTATTCCGTTTCATGATTGATCAAATGTCCGATGACAGTTCTTGTGCCTTTGCGTTGCACTTCAGTACATTTTGCACATTCATTTTCCATAGCCTCTCTAATGTGAGCTAAAAATAAAATAAATTACTTGTCAAAATAAACTGTGATTTGTAATTAATTTAAATCCTGCGTGATTTTGGGACACTTTACAATGTTATGTTGAATGATTAGTCATTAGCTAGATACGTTTTAATTCTGTGGGATCACGAATTTGGTCCCTAAAAATATATTTTTGTACCGAAAATACACATTAATAATATATTATGTTATCGAAATAACGAAGTCTGTGTTGAATCGAATTGCGACCCAACATGCGTTATGTACAGAGCAGACGGGTAAGAAAGTAAATTAAGACGAATTTTTATATAATATAAATAATAGGTAAGTATGTACAAAATGAATGAAAGGTAAGTTTAAATGGTTCTATAAAAATTCGATCAATTGAATTCTCGGAAATTCTGATCGTTATGATTTTTAAATTTCCGTCTTATAACTCTACCTATTGAGAATAAGTAATATTTTCAATTATTATACAATACAAACACTAAAACTTTTGTGTGCAGATATTTTAATGTATTTAATGAATAAAAAAAACTTGTGTTTAGAACTGTTTAAATCAATTCATTTTAATTAGTTATTTTAATATAGGTATAATATATCGTAAACCACAAAATTTACGAAGGTTGCGAATTCAACGCATTTAAAATTCTAAACAGTTGAAGGATAGCCGAATCGTTTAAAATAAAATTAGCATCCGAACAAAGTTCAAGCAAACTAACATTTTAATATTAATTTTAAAGTTAGGTAATTCGCTACTAAGTATTATATAGTTTTTAAAATATGTTAATTACTATTCATTACCTATATTTCAAATTAAAGATATACTCGTAAACGTAGGTAAAAGAAATTCGGAAAATCGAAAACACTCTTTCATACGATTAAAAAACTTCAAATAAATTATATTTAGTCAAATATACCGGTGTTCATCGGTTTATGCAATTGCTTGTGAATTAGATGCTATAAATATACATACATATAACATAAGTATTTAACGCGTCATGGAGATTATAAATCGATGAAAAGCAAAGAACAAAATATTTTATCACAATTCTTTTTTCTTATTTTTAACAAAAAAATGACAGCTGATGACTAATTTTTTTTTGATTCTACGCCTCAAATCTTACTTACTATAAGTACTTACATTTGAGTTCGCGGCCCTCGTTTGTACACTTGCCAGTCTCAAGCACGCACGAAACATAAGCAGAAAGTAGGCGCTTGTTGGCTAAAATTTCTGGGACATTGATATTGTCAAAACGATCTGTGTACTTAGTTTCTGGGCGAGATGAAACCACCGCTACCAAAGCCAGAGCACAGAGAATCACGAACTTCATTCTAAAATAAAAAAAAATAGATTTAGAAATAATTAATAAAATAATATAAATTATTGGCATCATTTAAGTTTAAACCAGATATTAAAGTAAGGTAAGGTTTTAAGTAAGGTACAGTTTGTCATCAAATTATGTAACAATATAATATAATCAATACGTAGATACTTATTATATAAATTAATACAAAAATACAATAAAATACTCTTCTTATATTATATATTTTTTCTATTACATATCCTACAAAAATCTAATCAATTGGTTTTTAAATAATTGTTATAAATAATATCAGTACTCAATTATTGTACATGAATATCGAATAAAAAAATAAAAAAAAAATAAACTTCAGTAAGATATTTAAAAAATAAACCTACCTTTTTTGGTTACAAAAGACTTATGGCGACACAAGTTGACCGCAGAATCTTATGGACAAGCTTTGAACCGACTTTTTATACACTATTATAGAACAAGATCATTTGGACGTGACAAACTTGTTTCGGATATGGGCAGTGTTCGCAGAACTCTATTTCGTCAGATGGGTTTATTTAGTCAACAAACATTACGGCCATTTCATCTTAATTTTTTTTTGCATAATAAGAAATCAGATCACGCATGACGTATTTTAAGTTGTTTTATTGCCTTCGTATAATTATTTATACTTTTTTCTAAAATTAAATAAATTATGACATGCTGATGCTTATACTATACTTATAGTATTGGTGAAAAATTACATCTATAATATTATAAAGAGGTAAAGTTTGTGAGGTTGTGAGTTTGTAACGTTATAGGGGGTAATCTCTAGATTTGGATTTAAATTTGGAAAGAAGATAGATTGAGACCCTGAGAAGGATATAGGATACTTTTTATCACGGAAATCATCTCTTAAGGGGAGCAAGCTAGGGACGAACCCGAGCGAAGCTAGGGTGAGTCGCTAGTAATATATATGTACGTATGAATACAGATATATACTTACCTCATTCCATAGACAGAAATTGCCTTCTTTTTGCTCAAAGAGGGTAAATTATGTTCAGTAGAATGATTTTATTATACAAATCTGCATGTACTAAAATATGTAAAATATAGCAAAAATCATTTTGCATTTAATATTACTTTAATATAACTTTTAGTGGCTTTCACTGTTAACCACGGTAAACAACTCGTGCCAACCACCCCCCCCCCCCCCCCCAACGTGCGCTCACCTTGTCGTGGTGGGGGGGCTCAGTAGTGCCCGGCAGTCCAACCGGGCGCGAAGCTAAGAAACGCACAGGGAGGTTGCCCACTTCGGTGGGCGGTGGGAGGTGGCCCTCTTCGGGGGGCGGTGTACCATGCGGGTTGCTCCTGATACTTCTCTGATAGCAGAGTGGACCTTGGAGCAACCCCATGGTTATTTTTTTTTTTTTTTTTTTTTTTCTTACGGTTCTAATACCTCTGACATAATCAGAGACTATATTTGCATACAATCTTTATTTACTCGTATCTTGTGCCATAAGATATAAATGTATTTGTTTACCTTATATTTATATTGCTTAGAATATTATACTTAACGTTTATCATTGCATCTTACAACTAACTCTAATAAACTAATAATTCTTATACAGTATTACTTATAACTCTTATAAACTATTACTTATAACTTATAAACTAATAATTCTTATAAACTATTACTTATAATTTTAACATAAAACTTTACTCACGTACGAATTATTATTATATATATAACTTTTTATTTATTATTTTTTTTTTTTATTATTTTTTTTTTTTCCTTACGTACTAACAATGTAATAAAATTATTCAAATTTAAATCTAAAAATATACTACTAATACTAATCCAAAACTGCCTGGGTGCTATTTCTTTTATTTACAATTTTGCATATTCGCTTACAATAATCTAGGAATACTTCTCTATTTTCATTGTCTTGATCACCCATGATTTGGCTTATACTGTCTAATGTTAGATTTTGGCCTAGCCGTTGCTCAACTCTATGTCTGTCTCTCAAATGGACTGGACAATCGAGGAGGACGTGTAGGACAGACTCGGACTGTTCAGGGTCACAGATGCACGACGGACTCTCCTTGCACTTGAATCGGTGCAAGTACTCAGAGAAGCCGCCATGTCCCGTCAGGACTTGAGTGACGAATTTATCTGCCTTTATTTTACCGGTCACTCGGTAAGCATCCGCCGCATCAGGGAAAAATGCCTTGGTGATGGCAGCCGTTTCACCATTGCGATATCGTTCGTTCCATTCGTCAATCGAGCGCATGCGAATGTTTCGCTTGACGAATGAGACGGGACAACTATCGTAGTCGAATCTTCTCTTTAATTTCAGCGCCGCTTCTTTCGCCAGATGATCGGCTCGTTCACATTCCCCTCCAGTCCTACGTGCGCTCTGATCCAGAACAGGCTTATTTGCTTACCCTGGAGCAGAGCTTCGCGCAGGAAACCACGCGTCTCCACGGCCAGGGGATGAAGGGCTTTAGGATTCTGTAGAGTCTGTAATGCCGATAAAGAGTCGGAATAAATCCCAATTGTACCCGTTAGATGTTCAGCCGCCATCCTCGCCGCTCGGCTTATCGCTAATAGTTCCGCCTGGTATACGGTGCAGTAAGATGGCAAAGAAAGCTTGAGGGTTTTGGTTTCGGCTGCTCCTCTCCATACGGATAACGCTGCCCCCACCTTGCCCTCAATCTTACTGCCGTCTGTGAAAATGTTAAAATCATGTCTATTATTGGCCATGAGTTGCTCCTGATCCTCCAGACATTTATATTCGAGGTCTATGTGACAGGCTGGGTGTGGAGACTGTAAAGCCGAGGACATCTTTTCAACCTCCCGATCTCCCATCTCTTCCCAGGCCCCCCTTCTGGCCTCGTACAATTCCGCTGCCTCACGGATTCTGAGATCGAGAGGGAGTATCCCAGAGAGCAGTAGAGCAGAGCTCAGAGACACCGTGCGGTATGCCTTACAAATCTTCTGCGCAAAACCTCTTTGAACTATTCTCAACTGCTTCTGGATTCCTAGCTTATTGACTGCAGGTGCCCATACACTAGCGGCGTACAGAATCACCGGCTCCACTACTGCCCTATAAATTATACGTATTATGTCGGGATTGAGTCCCCAACTTGCCTTTGCTGCTCGCGCGAGCTGATGGTAAAAGGCGACCGCGCGTCTGCAGACGCTCGCAACGTGAGCGTAACCCCATGGTTGTGGTGGTCTGCTTCGGCAGACCTGCCGTCGGGGCGTCGTAGTTGAATGCGTAAGCGATCCTGCGACGCCCCATTAAGACGGGGGAAGGTTTTGTTGGGTTTTAGTGGATAGTACTGGCTGTATTACGCCGGTGAGTCCCACACGTCGTGCGTAAATGCATTTCCCAACGTTAAAAAAAAATGGTAAACGACTCGTAAAACTTAAACAGCGCCATCTATGAACACGCAATACAAAAATCATAATCAGTAAAGTTTCGGAAATTTGATTTAAGGTTTTTCTTTAATTTATAAAGTACTAGCAGAACCCACGGCTTCGCTCGCGCTAACACTTCAAAAAACTTTAAAATGGTAGGTTTCATACAAACTTTGCTTAAAACACGTATTTAATTAATTGTATTGAAGAGCATTTATACCAAGTTTCAAGTAATTCTAACCATAAGTATTTTTTTGGATTGTATTATAACGTGTTTTCCCGTGGGAAAGAGATAATCTCCCGCGATAAAAAGTAGCCTATGTCAGTCTCCAGCTCTCCAACTATCTCCACACAAAAAATCACGCCAATCCGCCAAGTCGTTTCAACGTGAAAGAAAGACAGACAAACAAACAAACAAACAAACAAACAAACAAACAAACAAACAAACAAACAAACACACACACACACACACTTTCACATTTATAATATTAGAATGGATTTTAAAAACGGGCTGTACTATTAATATTTTTGGGATTTAGGAAGATAAATTGATACATATAACGCCATCTATTTAAATAAATTGTAAGTAATTAGTAATTACCCTTTGATCCTTATGCTACCCAATGCTATGTAAGTATTGAATTCAACTGTACATTAATAAACTTTCATCTATATAAGTTCAATACCTATGCAAAATGCCAAACTAAAAATCAAAAAAGTCCGCGAAATAATCCGAAAAGATAGTTTTATTTAAAATGTCAAATATTCGCGTAAATCTAAAAAAGTACCATGTCTATACCCTGTGGCTATGTAATAATTCTTTATACCCAATATATTAAGATTAAATGGTTAGTTAACGAGGTGCGATTAATATGCCTTATTTTAAGTAAGTTTTTTTGATGTAATATTATATTATTGTTACCACAATTTTTAAATTGTTAGAAATATTCGCAATATGAAAAAGGTTTTCTGTAAAGCATATATACATATTTATATATATATTACGAGCTATCAAGGTTCATCACTCAGCATTCATTCAATCGCAACGGATAATAAAACTTCCTCATAATAATATTATAATAAAGACCGCATTACAGGAACGAGCCGCTACCACTGACATAAAGATTATATATAGATATTTTTTATGGCTGTTGCTATTTGTACGATAATCGGATGAATAAAAAACATCATTCATTGTCAATTTTTAGCAATATTTATCACTTTTAATAAGTATTTTCTAATATAAAATAAGTGATTTTTAGGTGCAGGAGTTTCTATATGCAAACAAACCTTAAACTATCGAGCTGAAAACTTATTCATTCAAATCCCCACGATTTTTAATTTCAAGTTTTTAAGGTTAAAAAATTCTAAATTCTACTTACTTATTTATTAGTCTATTAGCCCTTCCTTATCTATACATCTATACAGATAAATAAAATTGAAATGTCTGTTTGTAATGTCAAAATAAAAGCATTTTACTAAATGCATGTAAAATCATATACGGTACTAATAAGAAAAATACATTTTTTTAAATTTTTGTCTGTATGTCTGTTTGTTTATTCCGGACAATCTCTGAAACGGCTGAACTGATTTTGACGGGATTTTCACTGAAAGATAGCTAATTTTTTAGGAAGTAACATAGGCTACTTTTATTTAAGAAAAGAATTAGGGACTCGCACAAAAAAAATTAAAACGTACCTAGGGACGAATCTGAACGAAGCGAGGGTGAGTCGCTAGTTATTTATATATTTTATAAAGGATGAATAATAATTATTTCTTACTCCATACTCGTACTATTAAAAGTCAAATGATAATTTTTTATTCGTATTATTGAATGATGAATAAACACTCCGTTTTTTTATATAGGTATATTAATTTACTTCCTCAAAATACTCTAAATCTACATATAATAAAATTGTAACTAAATCCAATCTGTACATTAAATATCTTTTGGAAAATCTAATTGAAATGGATATTATTATCGATACAGAGTCCGAATCTATAGTTTTTAGAATGTTTGTCTGTCTGCCCGTCTATCTATCTGTTACCACATCACGAGAAAACCACTGGACAGATTTTGATGAAATTTGGTATGATAATAGCTGGTTATCCGGGTCAACATACAGGATACTCTTTACTGCGGAAAAATATCTCATCTCTGAGAAGTCTATACGAAACGTAAAACATCGCTAGTACAGTATAAGCTTGACGTATTTCGCCTTAACTCAGTATTGAAATTCGCCTACGCAAATTGTCTGGAACAGGTTCGTATTTATATAGTAATGATGTTATCAGCATTTTTAGGTAAAAAATAATAATATTATTACGTTTATTTTAACTTTAGACATCATTGACATAACCTTTATATAATAGTAATAATTATATTATCTATACAGATAAATAAAATCGAAGTGTCTGTCCGTAATATTCAAAAAACAACTTTTTACTAAATGCATATCATGAAATTATATACTTATAAGAAAAATACAATTTTTAATTTTTTTTGTCCGTCGTTTTTTTCGTTTTTTTCGTTTGTTTCAGCTAGTCTCCGAAACGGCTTGACTGATTTTTACAGGACTTTCACTGGCAGATAGCTGATGTTATGACGAGTAACTAAGGCTACTTTTATTTTATTAAATATAATATTTCAGAGAGCGTTTTATTGTGTGTGGCTCAGTTTGTAGTGACAGAGTGTACTTGCTGTGCCAGAAGTCGCGAGTTCGAGTCCCTTTTGGGGCACTCATTTGTGTGAGCATGAATGCTTGTACTCCACTCATGATTGTTTATATCTATATATGTACACACATATAATATATAAAAAGCAAAAGTGATTGACTGATGTATCAACACACAGGCCAAATCCTTTAGGCTATAAAATTGAAATTTCGCACAGGTATTCCTCATATGACTAAGGAAGGATTTTTCAACATTCAACCCCCAAGGGGGTAAAATAGGGGATGAAAGTTCGTATGAAACCTACCTTTTTTTAGAGATTTTATTTGTAGTTTTAGCGCGAACGAAGCCGCGAGTTCTGCTAGTTTATAATATGAAGCTATACATATATGTGTAGTGTATCAACTATCCGTATCAATAACACAAGCCGTAGCTTACCATGGAACTAGATGGTGCTGTATCAGTATTATATACTATAGTCTGAGGGTCATAGTTTTAAATCCCGCTCAAAACGAGCCGTAGAAATGTTTGCGCAAGTTAAGTAAAATGGCGAAAAACTGAAAAAAAAAACATTTTAAAAATGTGTTGTCACTATAATATGATTTGTTCTTTATCTAACTTATTTTATATACTTAAACTGACTTTACTTAAGTATTTTGTTTTTTATCTGCAATAAAAACATGACCTGAATAGGAAGATATCCAATAAATTACATGCTTAGCCACGGCCAAAGGCTTCATCGTCTAAATATAATATATGTAGGTACGTATATGAGTATAATGTTTTAATATTAAATCAGCCATTTTTGTATATTTATTTCGTATATCTCAGAAACGGCTCTAATGATTTGATGAAATTTTC